GGTAGGAGCGGTACTTTCGCAAAATCAGCAGCCCGTGGCATTTTTTAGCCGAACTTTAAATCAAACACAAAGAAAACTATTCCGCGACCGAGAGAGAGAGGCACTTGCAGTTCTGTTAGCAGTGCAAAAGTTCCGAGTCTATTTTGGAAAGGCGCCGATAACAGTATATTCTGATCATGCGGCGGTAACTAGATTGTACTCAGGGAAAAAATTTATCCCCAAGGTTAATAAGATGGGCACTCAAGCTGCAAGAATATAATCTGGTAATCAAGCATACCCCCGGAAAGGAAAATATCGTAGCAGATGCCCTATCACGAATTAAAATTAGACGAACAGGGTAATACCGTAAAAGGTTGGCAATGCTGACAGCGTGTACGTGTACAATAAATTCCCGAGAAACTGTAATAACCGAACTGGGTAAGGATCCTGAGTTTGGAAGTATTTATGAGTATTTGAAGGATCCTGAAAATTTTAGCCACCAAGATATTGTGGCGATAAGAAATAGGGCGGCCCATTACGAACTAATAGATGGTCTATTATTTTATACAAAAACTACGAATTCCAACAACGAATTTCGACCTGTTATCCCAGCTAGTCTTAGATTAAATATCCTGCAAGGAGCTCCATGACAGCCCTTTAGCTTCTCATGCTGGTATTCGAAAAACTATCTCAACGCGTACGCGAGGCAGTCTACTTTCCTGAACTGCAAAAGTTAACAAGGGCGTATGTCCAGTCCTGCCCAACATGTCAAGCCGTTAATTATATTAATTTCCGCCCGGCCGGGTTTCTAAATAGTATTAAATCCGAATTTCCAAATGAAATAATTGGCATCGATTTATTGGGCCCTTTCCCAAAAAGTCAGTTAAATAAAAGTCGCTATCTCCTTGTTATGGTTGATCATTTTAGTAAATGGACCGAAATTGTTCCCTTAAAACGAGCCTCCGCGAAATTAGTTACTGATTCTATTTTAAATAAATATATTTTAAAATACGGGGCGCCCCTAAAAGTTATATCGGATAATGGTCCTCAATTTGTAAGTAATATATTTGAAGACATGTGCCAAAAACTGGGCATACGTCATTTAAAAATGGTCCCGTATCGGCCGCAATCAAATATAGCGGAACGGGTCAACAGAAATATAGTGAAAATTATCCGTAGTTATGTTAAAAATTTTCATAAAAGCTGGGATAACTATGTCAATGAATTTGCTTTCGCCCTTAGGACCGCAAAACATGATACAACGGGCAAAACTCCTGCTGAGTTATTTCTAGGCAGAAAGATTATAACACCGTTAGATAAATTATTTTATGTGCAACAAAGAGCCCCAGAATTTAAAATGGGTGATATAGAAAAACTAATTAAGGAAGCAAAGAAGAATACGGAAGTAGCACAAAGAAAACAAAAATTGTATTATGACTTGAAACGACGGGGAGTAAGTAACTTATAAAGTAGGGGATGAAGTACTTAAAAATTAAGCATTCACTTTCTTCAGCACCAGAAGATAAAAACTGCCAAATTTTTTCCACGATTTGAAGGACCATATGTTATAGAAAAAAATAACTCACGCTGTTGTAGTGTTTTAAAGGCCAAGAAATGGTGAAACCTGTTCCGCAAACATTGATCAAATCAAAACCCTACTTCGATCGTAATAAAATGCAAATCTTTTCAGATCTTTTGCAGGATCCGGCACGGCAGACACCGCAGGTACAAGTTCCAGAGGTGGGAAAACGACAAGTACAAGGGCAAGCCAATGAGAGACAGAAGCAAGTGAAAAGAAAATTGCCCCGCGGAAAAATTGAAGGTAAAAAAGAAAAAGAAGCCGTTCCACCGTCCAAAAAAACAGAGTTCACGAACACCCCCAGAATGAAGAAGGGAGAAGGACGACGTATGTGGAAAAGACCGGGAGAAAGGAGACGCAACTATAACCCGGCTGTGAAAACGGAAGATCTGACTCATCCGACAGAACTCTCCGCAGCAAAAGTCGCCGAACTGCGGAAGGGCCATCAGCGGCGGAGGAAAAAAAGTTACAAGAAAAATTTGAACGGCCAGCAAAACGAGGTCCAAGCAGGATCACGACAGAAGTTTCCCGGTTCCGCCAAGACCAGCTGCCATCAAACGGCCAAGACCACAAGCAGAGGACAAAAGGAAGATGTTTTCAAGGGTGGCCGAACTGGTGAAAAACGGAAGCTTCCAGAGGAAAGCACTGAAGGGCGAGCCCGTACAAGAAGGAGGATCAAACCAAGCTACGGTCTGCAGCACCTTTAAAGGACTGGGCCCAGAAAAGGATGTCTGAATATTACAAAGATAAGTAAAATTTTATGTTACTTTACAAACTTAAGTTAATCTTTCATTCTTACTGCAAGTGGCAGATTTCAAGAAGTTTTACCTCATGCGAGGTCTACCTTTATCGCCAAAAAAGGGCGAGAAATGAGTTGTGACCGATTTTCTTATTATGTTTTTCAATTACTCGCGCGTAAAACTAAAGTTGATGTATAATAGCGTTGTAAAGACTTAAATATTGTAAAAAGTTATTGTATAAATTTTATTTAAAACATTCTAACAAGAAAGAAGTTTTAGTCTGAAAGACTTTTTGAAATGTAGTATTATTTCAATGTAGAAAGAATTGGCACTTGCTTTGAAAAGAATAGAAGTTAACAATGTACTACTAATGTATGTTTTCAAATGTGTAAAATTAACGGCATGTTGATATGTTCTTATATACAATGTGAACTGTTATTTTGAATGTTAAGAAATACCGTGATATGGTAAAAGTGAAAGTAAAGTAATGTTAAAAAATTTGTTATTCGTGTGACTGTAAAGATTAAATCATGGTGAATATGTGTTAAAGGTTGAATGATGTAGTTAGGCTCTCTGACGCTACACTTTAGAGTTAGCCACTTTCAGAATAGTACCTCAGGGTTTAGAGTTGAAATTAGGGTGTGTTAAGAGGTCTCGTCGTATGTTGAATTTTAACACGTTAGTGTTTTGATTGTAGGAGGAAGTGTTGAACACATAGACAGAAACACATTCGTGTTTGGTGTTTTTTACAACACATGTCAGAGAGCACGGGGAGAGATAATTAAAATAGTCATGAATGAAATAAGAATGTTAAGAAAAGTATATTCTATATGTTATTTGCAATGTCATTCTGTAACATTTCATTAAACTAGTTTTCCTTCCAGATCTCTGGAAGGAACCAGAATTGAATAAAAGCTCCTGTTTAGATGCAGTACAGATGAAAAAGAAAAAAGATTGTTGTATATTCCGGGAGCTGCTATTGTAACAAATTTCTTTCTTTTAAAAATTTTCTAGTTTCTAGTTTCTAGAAGTTATGATTGTAAAAGATTGGCCTCGCGTTAGTTTCTAGAGCTAAAAGTTTTCAACAAGGTCGTTTTAGACCTCAGTTTCAAACTAATTAACTCTGGCGGGAAGTATGTAAGGATCTTAAGTTTTACTAACGTTTATTTTATTTTAAATCTTTACTATCACTTCTTATTTTCTACTTCCGGCCAGAATTATAAGCGTGAAGGAGTTTATGCAAAGTTGTCTGGCGAACGCCAAGTAATTAATTTGTGGCCTTTTTGCCAAGCAGAAGAGAGGAAGCCGTGAGTTCGAAGCAGGCCGCTTACCTTAGAAGTTACGCAGTTGCTACTTTGCCTTCCAGGCCAGAGGTTTTAATCCTCTTGATAAATTAAACGTATTGTAGTGTTCACAGTCTCTGTGCTACATACGCTTCCTGTTATTATAAGGCCAATCTTATTCTAAAAGTTAAATTAGAGTTTAGTTTTATTTTGATATCTTTTAAGTTAGACCCCGAGTGGAGGGTCATTGTATTCCGAAGTACGGAAGTCATTGTATATAAAGAAAAAAATAAAGGGTTTTGTATACCCTTCGTCTGTATCCTGTCTACTTACTACAATTAGTGAACATAGCTTTAGTAAGCTCTCTGTTCTAGTCAGGTCATTGTATGTTTCCGAAGAAGGTTAGAAGAAACATTGAACCTGATAACTTGATTTGTGAAAGTGTGAATATTTTGCTACTGGCTGCATTATAAAAGGAGCCATAAATATCTTTATTATTTGAACAATAATTCGGCCAACTTTTTAATTTAGCTTCGATAATCATCTTATGGTATGTGCCATTTTTTTTTATGAAATATATCTAGGCTTGATGTCTTAATTCTTTGTTAGTAATCTATTTAATTTTTTGTTTTAATGCTCTAATATTGTGCTTCTGAATACGTTATTCTTTAGTCCATCAGTTCATATAAAAGAAGAATTTTGCACGTCTTATTGAGAAGGTATTTTCACTGATTTTGCTGTTGTTGTTGATGCTGTCAATTCTTCTTTGCTTTATTTAGATCTTACCTCATTTAGAACTAAGGGAAAAGGAGGAAATCATGGACCGTGCAATTTGTTGGGAATTTGCTAAATAAACTACTTTTCGTTCTTTTTAGTGATTTTGAAACGTTTCATTTAAACCGAAGCTTAATTCTCTGTGATGCCAAATGCAATATATTTATTATATGAGTGGGAGTTGTCTTCTTCGATTTTACGATTTGAAATCGAATTAATTAGACGATGTAAGTAACTACGAGATCTGGCCACTCTCCTCCGTACGCTGTTCCAAAAAAAAGTTAAATCTGAAGCTTGACTATGAATGAAAAGATTGTGTGAGTTGAAAAATTCCTCAAGTGATCATCCTCTTGGGCTTATGGAGGCGTAGCCCAAAGCTGATTGTGTGAATAATTAAACGTATCAGTAATTTAAAGCAAAACATACCTTTATTTAGTTCTGGCATCTGAAGACAACTTAGCTGACTCTCTCTGAAAAAGGCTGCCATAGGCAACCGTCTGTGTCACCTATGTTTGAAGCAGCATTGTTCTTTGTTTAATAAACTATTACTACTTTTTTTAAAAAACTGGAAATTAGCTTATGCTGTTATGTAACTGGCTAACAATAAGAAAAGGGTAAACACCAATTAATCTTTTCATTTTCTAGGAAGAGGAAGAGGAAGAAGAAGAGGAGGAGGAGTTGCCGCCCTTGCCCTCTTTTCGTCGTTCTACAATTATGACGTCGGATTACGAGAGCAGCAACGACTCGCCCCCTAGTGGTTCTGAGGAAGCTGGGGCGCGGGTACTAAGGGCGCACGTCGCCGTCCAAACGGCCGGATGGGCTGGGAGGGGTCCATGTGCACTCTGTGGAAGAACGACCCCTTTGACGCCTTCGCCTCTTGCCGTTGCTCCGCCCCTTACCCGAAAGGTTATATTTTCAATTTAAAAACATAATTAAATAGCTTAATATTGGCCATAAGATTCTAATATGAGTATTCTTATTAAGTCCCATACTGTCAGTCTGTGACACTTTTGCTGGTTATCTGGTATCTTACCGTTTTTTCAAAGTCAAGTCAAAAATTGTTCTTCCGAAAACTCTGAAAGGCCCGTATTTATGAACTTTTACTCGAACGAAATACCCCTTAAGAAATAATCTGCGAATATATATTACTTACCTTTTTAATTATTTGCTTAACTGAAGTGAACACATTTTGTTAAATCTTTGTTTATCCCTTGTTCGTCGGAAACGCTTGCTTTGATCTATGTTAGTAGCACTAAAACCACGACGCAGAATAGTGGTAAGAATGGAAGCGTAAATAAAAGACGGGTAAAGGTGAGGGAAACACTCCAGACAATGACAAATTAATATTTTAACAACTCTTTCAATGGTTACAGCCGAAAAAATCGCGGCAAAAACATCGCGGACGAAAACGTCGCGGAGAAAACAACGCAAGGCGAAAACGTCGTGCTACAAAACATCGTGGGAGAAAACATCGCAGTTCTAAAACATCGTGGTATAAAACATCGTCGTCGAAAATAAAGCGGTTCAAAAACTTCGCAGTTTAAAAACATCGCCGTCGAAAATATCGTGGTAAAAAATAAAGTATCTAAAAATCATCGCATGACGATAACATCGCAGACATGCTTTTTTCAGGCTTTCTAACTGTAAATGGATATTCCCATAATGATTTGTGAGCGCAAGTGATGTAAGAAGGATAATTTTTACTTTCACATTTTTTATTAACTAATAAATTTTGCTGAAAAAATAAGAAGGAAAACTTAAGCATAGAAAATTAAATGCAACTTAATAGATTATACTTTTTTATGAAAAATTACCTGTAAAAACTTTATAAAAATGATTTATTAATGGTCTTTGTTAGTTAACTATGTCGGTTTAAAAATTCTATTAAGTGCTATAAGTTTGCATTAATTTTCTATGCTTAAGTTTCCTTCTTATTTTCTCAGCAAAAATTTAATATTAATAAAAATATGAAAGTAAAAATTATCCTTCCTTTCCATCTTGCGCTCACAAATCATTATGGAAATATCCTTTACAGTTATTAAGTCCTGCAAAAAAAGCATGTCTGCGATTGATCGTCACGCGATGATTTGTAGATACTTATTTTTTACCACGATATTTTCGACGACGATGTTTTTAAACTGCGAAGTTTTTGAACCGCTTTATTTTCGACGACGATGTTTTGTACCACGATGTTTTAGAACTGCGATGTTTTCTCTTTGCGATGTTTTCTCCCACGATGTTTTGTAGCACGACGTTTTCGCCTTGCGTTGTTTTCTCCGCGACGTTTTCGTCCGCGATGTTTTTGCCGCGATGTTATCGGCGGACACCCTTTCAATAAATCTGGGATAACAGTTTGACAGCGGAAAGAGTTAAGATTGGGTTCATAGGGCATTACCGCAGTTCGGATGTAGAGTAATTTTCAGCGCATTCTTTGCGAACGAGTGAAAGAGACATTTATCATTCTAAATAAATTGACAACGCCGATACGAAAATATCAGAAGAAACTAGAAGTTTTAAAAACAGTGATGGCACAGAAGGAGTTAAAAACAATTTCCGAATTGAATAAGCAATGGTACAAAACAAAACTGAAAATTTTAATGTGGAATGAATCTTTTTAAAGCTTCTATAAAAATATTTTCAATTGTTTTGAAGAGCATTTTTAGATTGCTGCATTTCTTAGCTGCCCGTATTTTATTATTCTAGTTCACGTTTATACTCTGGTATGCAATACCGAAGTACCATATGCAGTGGCAACATAATGCCACATACAACCAAGGCAGCAAACAGAAATCAGTCTGGATCAACAGGAAATGTGATGTTACCAAGCCAGTAATCAGCACTTCAGCCTTTTGTCTCGAGAAGTAATAGCGCAATCTTAATATCGCAGTATAGTATATGGTTTATACTACACAAAATAATTTCGTTTGCGAGTTATCCATTAGCATTATTCGAAATTTTTGGCACTTTCGTTAGACACGTGTGTTATTGGTTTCTCCTAAGTACTACAAACGACGAAATGGTTCATTGAGAACAATTAAATAGTTTAACTGAGGGTCGAATATGTAACACGCTTCATGATCAGAAATCAATCATTCTGGACAATTCTATGCATTTGCTGATTATTAGTTACCTTATAAGAGCCTCAGAGATCCCTTTCGAATTAGAATTATATCCAGAATCAATACTGCGAGGGAAAGAAATGTTTACTATTTTTTTAAATGAAGAATGTTTGATGTTAAACATAGCAATGTATCTGTTACGGTGAAACACCGAAATCTGGAGAACGTCGACTTTCACCCATGAATGTCAACATACACATAGTCTCTTGGTGTATGTCCGAAATATTTTCCAAATACTCTTGTCTGACTGACACCGGTCAAGGTGACTTTCACATGTACTAATGGTGAATGTTGAACCTATAACAATATTATTTTCTTCTTCGTATTCAGCGCGAATAAACGCATTTGAAATTGAAATAGAACTAGAACATGAGAACTAAAAAAAACCATCCTTCAAAATGGAGGAAACAACAAAATAGAAGTAAACCTTACTAATTATACAGTACGTTCTAAATGAGAAATAAAATAACAGTAAAAAAAAACTTACTATTGTGATCAAATCTTATTTATTGCAACTAACTTAAAATATTTATGCCTTTATGACCTCTCTTTCGACTTTCCGGAGATATCTGTGATATCCACATACCCGGTGAGGGTCCGAATATACAAGAATGTAGTGCAATATTCCATCTCTCACAGACGTATTTGGTGAATGTTGATATTCTCCGGTGAAAGTCGACATTTTCCAATTTCGGTCTTTCACGGTAACATATCCTTTATTTCTCAGACCGAACGGGCTTTGTCCCTGAAGGACTACTGCTTTCGTTTTGCGATTTTGCGTTGGTTCACTATAAATGTCCGTTTCACTTTCAAACTGTTGCCACCAAATGTTAGAGTCCTGCATTATATTTGAAGAAATTAAATAATGCAAAATCTGCATAAATGTATGTATATTTCTCACATTGTAATAATAAAACAACGGTACATAGAGCTATCGAATTTTGAATGACGTAATCTTCCTATCTAATCTATGAGCATGTGGAAGCCCAAATTTTTAAATTTGGAATTTGTTTTATTATCGATTTCATATTTTGTAAAATTTTAATGAATTTTTGATTAGCAAACTCAAGTATTTCAATGCAAGCAATGGCAACGTTTTAAAGAAAAAACATTTTTATCTCCAACGCGCAAGTCTCTGTATCGGACATTCTAAAGATATGCTCAATTTAAAACTATTTTGCGATATTGCTGTTGAACTGAATTTTGTGGTTTAAGTGCGAAGAATGTGATATTTAATGAATAAATGTAACAAAGATGTTAAAAACGCCCCTTTAAACGTAATTTAAAATCTTAAAACTTTTCAAACTTTTTTTTTTTTTTTTGTGTGTGTGTGTGTGTGTGTGTGTGTCTATAGTGTTTTGTGACCATCAGAACAACATTTAAGAGGCCACACTAGGCTTCTATAACAGATTTATTTTGCTTGTGTAGGCAAAAGGGAATTAGCTGAAAGTGTGTGACATGAATAAGCAAATCAGCTAAGTACAGTGTTCTCGAGAATACTGCTTTAACTGTGGCAGGTTAACACAAGAAATAATTTATTCATTCAACGACAATGCGCTTTTTCTCATTAAAGCTTATTAATTAGAACTTCCGGTTGATCATGTGGAGAGGACTCTGAAATTGGAAAATAAAGTTTAGTCTCCGTTAATGATTCTGAATATTGGCTGGTATGGAGAGAGATTGGAAGACTGTATCACACAGGGACCAAGGTCCGTTGATATCCATTATGCTAGATACAGTGGATGGACAAAAATATGGAAACACCTTGTGAAATGCATGTTTGAAAAGAAAGATTGATTTTAATGAAATATGTAGGTGGCGCTGGCGTTTTTGACTACTGACGCCACCTATACAACTTCATAAATGTGCTAAACAGTTCAGTTGTTGTCGGAGTACTGTTATGTGAGGTTGTCATTGCGTTATGTCAGAGTTAACAGATTTCGAACGTGGGCAAATTGTTGGAGCACGTATGGTAGGTGCTTCCGTAAGCAAGATAGCCGAGGTGTTTAGTGTTTCAAGAGGTACTGTAATGAAGATTTATTCCGCATATTTGAAAAGCGGAAAAACATCATCTGCTAAATCACAGCGCGGACGAAAGTGTGTCCTGAGTGATCGTGACAGACGATCATTAAGGGCAATTGTGACGAAAAATAAGAAGACCACAGCTGCAAAAGTTACTGCTGAAATGAATGTTGTGTTACCGAACCCTGCGAGTACCAAAACAATTAGAAGGGAGCTTCATAAACAAGGAATTGCTGCCCGTGCTGCAATTGAGAAGCCACTCATCAGTGATGCTAATGCCCGTAACAGGAAAAGGTGGTGTTTAAGTCATAAAGCCTGGACTATAGAGCAGTGGAAGCGAGTAATTGGTCTGACGAGTCTTCTTTCACATTGTTTCCCACTTCTGGCCGAGTTTACGTCTGGAGAACGCCATCTCAAGCCTATAATACAGACTGCTTGTTGCCAAGAGTGAAACATGGCGGGGGTTCTGTTATGGTTTGGGCAGCCATATCGTAGTCCTCTGCTAGCCCCATGATAACTGTGTCAGGGCACATGACTACCAAGACTTATGTGAACATTTTGGCCGATCAAGTTCATCCCATGGTACAAACTTTGTTCCCCGATGGTGATGGTGTCTTCCAAGACGACAAAGCCCCTGTTCACACAGCTCACATTTTCCAGGACTGGTTTTCTGAGCACGAGGATGAGTTGTCCCATCTCCCCTGGCCACCACAGTCACCAGACCTGAATATTATCGAACCTTTGTGGTCTACATTGGAACGGAAAGTGCGTTCTCGTTATCCACCGCCAACATCGTTATCTGAACTTGCCACCGTTTTGCAGGAAGAATGGTATAATATTCCCTTGGCAAACATACAGGAACTGTATTTATCCATTCCGAGAAGATGCAAGCTGTTTTGGATGCCAACGGGTTTCCAGCACCATATTAAGCAAAGAAACATGTTTTTTTAAAGGTGTTTCCATATTTTTGTCCAACCCCTGTAAATGCAAGGTTGTGTTTTTAGTTTTTGAACTGGTGCTTTTTTCGTTCAAAATATTGGACGCATGTTTTGAAACCAATTAGCTTAGTTTAATCGGTTATGCTTACACACGTAGTCCCGAAACGCCCTTTGATTCTATTTACTTTTTGTAGACTAAAGTATAGCAGAACATCAAACTGTAACTGTTAATTGAAGACTTTAAAATATGGACATTCACTTGATGGACAAGTTTCCCCTTGATTAAAGGTGTAATATACGGATAATGACATTCACGGACAAAACGATTTCATGGCGTGATCATTCCCAAGTAATGACCAGAAATTCTAGTTAATTCAAAGTTAATTATAAAGGCGTAAGAAAGAGGAATAATCTGTATGAAAAACATTATATATAAGCAGAAATCCATAACAGATAAACAAAAAAAAAAATCATCCTATTAATTTACCCATAATTTTCAGTAGTTCAATCAGGAGAATAAATTAATTTTATTACGTAAATGAAATTAGTATTCGAACTGAAAATAATTCATTCTAAGTAACGAAAGAATAAACATCAGAAGTAAGAAACTAAGCTATAGATGACATTCAATTAAAAGGGTTTTGGTCTTATATTTCTTTTAATATTATAGGCATTTTCAAGACTCAATCCGGTGAATCCTCAACCACATGTCAGTATGACATAGCACATAGAATTAATATACTTATTAAGTTCCAATTACTGCACATTCCTTACGAATTTCTTTAGTTAAACTGACTTTTCGAAATTCTTTCATTTTTTTAACTACTTGTGTAACTAAAAATTTTAAAACTGTTTGTATTTTCAGGAAACAGTTGAGGAAGATCAAGAAGAAGAGGATGGTAAGATAATCAAGTTGCCAGATGCTACTTACGATTTGGAGATGTTGGCGAACGATCCACTTTTAGGTCTCATCGATATTTGGGACTTTCCAGTCTTTGATATGGAACGACAAGCTGGCACACTTATCCTTAGCCAAGTAAAGAAAACTAATCATTCTAGTATCCGGAATGCTTTACAGAATGTTTTAATATCAAATGTGTGTGTGTGTGTGATTATGGCAAAGCCTCAAGGGCTATCTGCCTAAGAGGAGGGATGCCTTCGTGGAGGACTTTCTAAGGGAAACTGGCTCGTATACACGTTACACATGGGGAAAACCACGAAAACGCCCATGCAGCCAGCCCGTTCCCGGGATTCGAACCTCGGACCGAACTACCAGTGTTCAGCGTCTTTACCGCTCGGCCGCTGGTGGGCCTTTAATATCAAATGCAAATTAGTAATATAGGAGACTTTTATTATTTCTTTTTTGTTGACTACCATTTAATTAAAATTAAACTTTATTTCTTCTGAATATAATACATTTTATTTCTTATATACTGTAGATATCTGTACCCAGGCAACAACGTAGCTAAATTAATTAACAGGCGGGGCAGAGGGAGAGCAGTTCAAGGTCATAAAATAATAAATAAGCAGATCAAGCAGGGGAAATATTAAAATGACAACCTATTCAAAGTATAAAGTAATAAGTTTTCAAAGTATCTCAAAAATTTTTTAAATAGGAAAGGGTAGCTAAACTTTTAAAAAAATCAATTTTACTTTAATTTATATTTATTTGTATGAATTTGTCGGTAATTTTCCGTTTCGCCGACGCAAATCTCGCCAAGCAGACTTTGTTGGCGGCAATATACAGTATACACATAAAAAATGTTAACAAATGTTAATTCTAAAAATTTTTTATTTTGAAGGCATAAACATTTTAATATGGTTAAAATTTGTGTAAAAAGCCAATAAATAAAGACAATAAATTTGTAAAAAGACATAACTTAAGAATTTACTATGCTTTCATGGTTCAAATTCCTGATTCGCAGGTTCGTATCACGTGACCCCAAATGATCTCATCTAACGTAAACTACGCTACAAAAATCTAATTCTCTCGGTAATTATGTACATTGATTTCAAGTTAAATCTTAATTTGGAATACAAGTTTAAATGCAAGAATTATTTCAATTCTTACGAATAGCTTACTCAGACATTATGTAAAACCACAGTGCTTTATTTCGCTAGTGCATTCGCATTAGAATTGATGAATCTAACACTTGATTTTGCATTTTCTATATTTTCGCCTTCGTGTGAACGGTGTGATTGCTTTCTAATTGACTTAATTACCGCGAATGGTCTTAGGGCATAAAATTTAATTATCTTGTAAAAATTCTATGTAATTGTATGCCAGCATTGAAAGAAACAATCAATCTGATAAGAAATGACTGAGACTTGTTTTGAAAATGAGGCGTAAAAGGTTACCAGCGAAGATATTTCTTTTGGTATCCAGTTGTACCATTATTGGCGACTTTATCGGCAAAACGGAAAAGTACCGAATTGTCTAAAGATTCAAAAAAAGCACAAGAACGTAAAGAATATTATGGTTAAGATTTCCTTTATCGAATCAAATGAAGAAGGGATTAGAAGGGAATTCTGACTAAATAAGATAATTGACAATATCAAAATAATTAAGATGCAGAATAACACTATAATATTGAGGAAAATTTTTAATATTTGCTTTTATGCGTTTATTATTTAGATTTTATGTATTATTGCAGTGTTGTGTATTGATTTTATTGATTTATTTATTTAACTTATTTTTATATAAGAATTTAACTATGTACTTTATTGAATGCAATTTGTTATCATTTATTATCTCTGTAAGTGTTTATTTCATGCATTATGTGAGCAGCTTTTCATTCTAATCGATCGCCATTTAAAATATAATGATAAGCTCATTTAGAACCTGAGCTAACAGCAAAAATCTTCTTTACGATCTTAGCGATATTTGGAGATTTCTAGTTTACTTGGTGTCATTTTAAAAGTTAAAGGAAAATACATTTTTGCATTCCTATCTATGAGAGATTTTTCTGAAAGCTTCCCGATATGCTGTGTAAACCCTATTCATACGTGAGCACGGGTTCGTAATAGATTGAATGTACACAGCTCCGATGAGAGATTGATAAAATGCATTTTATCAAAAGAAGCACTTCAGAGATCTGGAACTTTCCATACAAATAGTCGTACAACGTTTCACAGTATGACAGAGTATAATCAGTTGTTGCACTTAAAACTATCAACCTTAAACACAACGCTATGCAAAGCGCATCTAAACAGAAAGCTAACCCGGAGATATTTTAGTACTCCAATCTCACGCTGAACTGACAACTGAGAGCAGATGCTGTGACCCGCCTTCTATAGTTCTCACCCGCTCGCAGAGATATTTATAGTATTTTCTCCTTCTCGAGATTGCTGGAAGGCAATATGAGGGTGGAATTATGGTTTCAGTTAATATAATGATCAAATACAAGTTACAATACCTATTACGATGATACAAGGATGACCAAAATGTCCTCAAATACTCACCAAGTTTGGCGACTTTTGGCAATTTTTCGCCAAATTACTGAGATACCCATTTTCACAATGCTAAATGGTATTCTTACTCTTCCAGCATACCTCGTTTCTTTAGATTTTTCATGCTACTGTATGCAAAAGAATACAACAATTTCACATATAATTGCAGTAAAATCATCTATCTATGTACAAATTTGTTAACTCTATAAATATCGTATTAAGTGAAGGTCGCTTATTTCTGTGTTTCAGTTCAGAGGCATATGACTTCAATGAGCCCCTGCTCTGATTACAATTTCAGATTTTAATTAGGGAGTAATTTGGTGATCTTCAGTATTTCCTGAGTCTTAAGGAGAATTTGCTTCGTCTTCTTTGGCTGTATATGACTATTTACATTTGCTGTTTGAGCTACTATCTATTAAAACAAAATTTCTTTTCGTTCACTTGGTGCAGATATTAAAGACAGCTCTATGAATAGCTAATTATCATAATCCAGTATAATACTATTTTTTTTTTAATAAATAGGTATGAAGATTTAGTTTTATAATGTAACTAAAAGAGGTTTTGTGCATTCTTCTAACATTTCAATGCTGTTTGCATTGCAGATGTGCTACCGAGTGTTCTTGGCAACGGGCCTTTTCGAATCTTTCCGCATTCCACTGACTCCTTTCTTCGCTTATTTCCATGAACTGGAAAAGGGATACAGAGACAAACCATGTGAGTAGTATTTTGTTCTTTCGAATTGAATGAAACGTATCCGCAAATGCATTGATAAAACCCGTACTATTCGGTTTCGAGGGTCGTAAAAAATCGCCAAACTATTGTTGATGCCAATGCTGCAAAAATTAATTGCAGCAACCCTAATAATTGCGGCAAGAAAGGAAGTACTATAGTAAATAACTAAGATTGATGTTTTAATTTAGATGAAATGTTAATTTCATATAATACTTTTTTATTATTATAATTTATATGAAAAAGGCTAAACATGACTGAATGGAAGCATAAGAGTAAATAACTATTTCAGATCATTATTATAATTTATATAAAATTGCTAAACATAACTTAATGGATGCCTGCATCGCTGTTTCGCTACCGACTTATCGCTAAAGCATAATTTCATCTCGTTGTTTGTTCAAACGTAATTTTCTATAATGAATGAAGCCTTTTCTTTGAAAATATTTCTCGGTAAAGTTCAGAATCGCTCATTTATTTGTTTGCCGCTTTTTACAAGGGTAAAAAAATTGGGTTTTTGTCAATTTTCTTTTACTTTTTAAGTGAAAATAGGTCGATGTGTACATAGATAAAGTCAAGGGAGTGCACAGTGCCATTTTTGTGCAATTCTAGGATTTGTTTTAAGTGAAAATAGGTCGATGGATACCGAGTGATACGAGATCTATAGATGCATATGGATACCGAGTATGTGCAATTCTTAAAAACGCGTCAAGCAGTGGATGATTCTGCACTTTACCCGAAATTCTATTGCCGACTTTTCGTCATGGGCAATTCCCCAAATTGTTAAATCCATAGGATATCAAAAAAGTATTTAAATATTAAACTAGTATGTCAATGGCGTCTTAAATATAGAACTGTATAAACTTACACAATTTGAAATCAACTCGTACTCTAGATTTGGCGCGCTGTTAAATGGGCGCGTTTGCTAGATTTGGCGCTTTTGCGCATACATTTTCGCTGCAATTTTTTTACGGCCCTCAAAACCGAATAGTACTATAAAAGCTAAGAAAGGAACACCAAAGAAGAGAGCGATTTTCTCAGAAAACAAATTGTTATGTTAATGAGTACGTAAAATAACAGCTATCTTAACTGAAACTTACAAGGCATTATGGAAATATGTAAGGCAAGAAATAAAACGGCATATAATTTAGAGGTGATATTGCATATAATTATCGTAATTTGCAACTATATCTAATAAGATGATTATCAGGTAGAGGAGTTATGCCAATGAATTTAACTTAATTACCATTAGTAAGTACTAAGTAATTACTACATTTATTTAGTGTCTTTATCTTTACGACAATGAGTAATAGAGATAATTTGCAATATAAAGATGCAAATCAAAATGGTAATTCTTTTGCCAAATCTATAGCGGTGATGTTACGCCGCGCCGATTCTAAGAATTGTAAGCTTAGAGATAATAATGAAGGTGGGGTCAATAGTTAATGAATTACCAACATTTATAGTTAATGAATGTTGGTAATTACCGATTGGCACATGATGTAAAGGAAACCCGAGGAAGGATTCGGGGCAAACGCGATAAATGGATGCATAAAGACATCGATGTACATGAATGATCACTTCACAAATTAGACAAGACATTCCCTGATGAAAGTAAATCTAGACATAAGTACTAAAACAGTCTGGAGAGCCTCTCGGAAACAGAACTCAGATCAGTTTAGTTATGAGCAACATTACGAATGTCAGGTTCATTTTCAATGACACCATAATGATAAGTCATCCCGTGCAAGAATGATACAAATCTGAAGTGTTTTTGAAAGTAACACTGTTGCTAAATTTCAAAATATTTTTGTCTTATTTTTAATCATCTCTGTAGGCTGCGCTGGCTGTCCTCGCCCCAGATGTTTTTAAAAATAAGTATGTGTATTATTACTTTGCTTTGTTTTTTGGAAATATATAAGGAGAGGAAAATTAAATTTCTCGCTCGGGAGCTTAGGGAGAGAAACTAAGAGGGAGCTCCCGAGACCGAATGGTCAGCCGTGGGACTGAGGTTCTCTGACAGCGGAGATAGAATGCTTTATATGTCAGTCATAGCCATAATAGAAACAAATGATAAGCGAAAATATTACGAGCAAATACAAAATGAGAAAAAATTGAGAAAAAATAAGTACGAATTGGAAACTCAAAGCGGAATTCAAAACATTTTTATCACAAAATATTCTTAATAGCATTTCGCTTGTATGATAGACATAGATTTCCGAGAAAGTACATAAGGGTGGCAGTTTAGTTTCAGCTATCAAATAATAATTAATTTATTTCGAAATAATCCTTCTAAAATAAGTAAGGAGGGTATGTATCTGCTTCGAGGTAGATGAAAATTTAAATGTACTGCCCACTTGACTTTATACGTCTACACATTAGTGTTCCTACTTTATTTATTTTTAAATTCATTACGAACACTGATTTAAAGTTCTTCAGTATCGTAGATGAGGGAATTACAGCCATTTATTTAAATTAATTCCAAAATTTACTTCTCTAAGGGATTTGAAGTAAAAAAACTGCAATAACAGAACATTGCTTTGCATTGCCATATGCAGGACCTGCTTTAAGAATGAGGTAAATTGTAACGGCATACCAGTGAATATCAGAAAAAAGGTGTTTTTACCTTGTGATGTTGCGTGGCCCCAACTTGCCCGCAACAGTAGTAGTGACTGCTGTGAACTGGAAATTACACAAACTCTTAAGAAGGGTTTAACTCCCTTTTTATTCCAACTTTAGAAGTTACAGATGCGTTCACTTGACGCTCACAAACTACGCCGACCCGGCGGTTGAATAAAAATCGAAAAGTACAACTAAAAATAAATAACAGGATGAATAAATAACAAGTCACTACCTACGAGGCTCTATAAACGTGACTAACTTAACCGCGTTCTAAGATACAGCTGAGATTTTAGCAAACTTTCTGAATAAGAAGTTGAAAGATTCACTAACTGCCGAAGTAGGCACACAGGCCGAAACACACGCGGTTCTTAAATTTCTACCTAGCAAACCTTCACGCTCGTGAATCAAGAAAGCACACCTACAAACTCGCTTCCCTTCTATTTAACTCAAATTACTTCTGCTGAAAATTTGAATACTCTGCGCGTTCTACTAAAATTTACGTACTCTGGCATTGGCAATTCCAGGGGAAAGTAAAGGCTTGACAGGAAAGATAGCTTAAAATAAATGTTAGTTAAAATAAATATAAACCCTACAACCTTCCATCTGGATAATTTTAGGCTACTTCACAGAGACAGGATTTTGCTTTGTTTCAGTGTTTCAGTGAAATTTTACCAAATCGTCCGAAGTTTTCATCAAATGTTAAGAACCGCTGTTCATTTTACTCAAAGGTAATCATCTGAAGGTTTCAGCTTTGGTCAAACTGCTTGCATTTTCCTATTTCTAGGTCACCTTTCGAAACATTTTGCTGTCAATTAAATTTTACTACTTTCTAAATACTGAAATGTTTACCGATTTCTGTTTACGAATGTACTTCCTTGCGTTACATTTACTTGTACAGAATATTTCATATACGACAAAATTCTTCGACCACATTAGAAAATATATGGTTATTTCCTAAAACCTACATATCTATTAGATTTATACGGAATTTAGTGTTGAATAGTTTATAACATCTAAAGGTGGTTACTAACTAAAACTGCATCTTCTGCACCTACTATTTAGGTACAATATTTCATTGGCAAAGTCTTGTTTAACAAAGCCTTGTTGGAAGTTACGACAGACACATTTAGGTTGAGTGGAAGAATCCATTTAGCTTCTTCACTTATCAAACTTAATGTCGGAGCACTCTAATCGTCTGCTCCGAATAATGTCTATTGCAGCAATCGGCAGTGACTAGTGGTCTATTCAGAATGCCAGTAGATATTACATTTTGCTCTAATCTACGCCGGTTGTCGTACTGTTTCCATGAAACACAAAATAATCCCCAATAATAATTCTGTAATTTATTTTAAATTTTAAATTTTTTTATTTCTAGATCACAATCGTATGCACGCAAGTGATGTTCTTCATGGTGTTTACTTCCTCATCTCGCAGCCCATTCCAGGATTCTGCCAAGTGTCTTCTGACTCGACGGACTCGCCGTTGCACAGAACGCTAAGTAAGCTATCCATTCGATTTTTTACCATTACTTGTTACTTAATCCAACCGAAGAAAAGTATTTTCGGTTAGTAAGGGTTCTTATCTTTATATATCGAAATCCTAGGTACTTTACGCATGTAAGTTCCAAAATGCGAGATACCTGAGTTCATTTAGAATACACTAGTTTCCTAATGTCAATAATCCCTCACTGATGAGCGTTGAGAAGATAAAGCGAAGTATTCCTGGTCCAAAGGGCAGTTAGGTGGATCTGAGAAGTACGTAAACAATAAGGACGCGCTTTATAATGTTGCTGCTTAAACAGCAAGCGCTACTAGTATATCATACCAAAGAACCATACCAAATTACGTAAATCGAGTTTTCAGACAAGTTGCATGCACCTCATATTTCCATTTTAAAGGATTGGAACTTTCAAATTTTCAATCTAATGATTTGAAATCATGAGCTTATCTTTTCATTTGCAGCGATATTCAGTGTGGCCAAGTAGCATGTATTTTCAATGTACGACACTGCGCGTTCTGTAGCAGAAATCCATGCATACTGTTCCATTTGTCTCCGAGAATTCATGCGTACGTTTTGCAAGTTAACTACCATAATTGCTGTAATATTTCTTTAATTGCTATAATTCTGTATCTATATTGCGCGATAAATTTAATTAATAATTTAATCACATATTTATTATTTATTGTGACGTATTTATTTATATGTACATTAATAGACATCTACCATATCATCGTTGCAATGCTAGGAAGCGTTTCTATAAATAAATCTTGAAAAGCAGACAATGAGCCCAAAATGATTAAGAACATAGCTTGTAAGGATTATGTTAATTTTTCTAACGGTTAAATTTTGAGTTAGAGTTCCTTTCCTATCGCTTCTTAATTTCAACTTACAATTTCCGACCAGAACGTATTTTTAGAATCACGTTTGAATGCAAATTTGAGGAGTAGTATTTAACCGTGAAGTTCTACTGTGTTAGTTAGAGAGAACCAGTGATTCTGGCTAGCCCGCGTCCGCCTCTTTTAGGCTACTCTCTCTTTAAGCTATTATTACACTCGGCCGTACTTTAGACCCTTGATAGCTTCGCAGTTCAGCTTTAAGGGGCCAACCCTGTTAGAAGTTTGTTAACTTAGGATATATCTTTTTAGTTAAGATTAGTTTAGTTTAGTTCTTAATATCTTAAGCCCTAGTGTCGGCTTTATTCTACAACTCCAAGAGAGAGTACTGTAACATCTTATTAGAATAACAAATGGTTATTTCACCCTTCTTACTTGTTGTTTTCTATATCACGAACTCAAGCATTTATTCGCTTACCTGTTCTTAAGATTCTTCAGATTCAACTGTAACTTAAAAGTATACAGAACAGAATCTTACAAGCTTCCCAATATTTTTCAACTCCCTGTCACCCCGTTCAAGGTTATTTCTGCTCAACGCCTTCTTCAAGTTTGATTCAAATTCAAGTAAATTACACGCTGTTGATTTTTGCTACCATTCTTGAACGTAATCTGTGAACACTGAATGAAAAGGGGTAAAATCTTTTAAATATTTATTGCATTTGTGTTCCATCTAAATAGTTAATTAAAATTCATTACGTAATAAAGAAATAGAATGGTGACTATTAACCCTCTGACCGTGGGTACAAAGTTCCCCAAAAAATCCATACCTTTTGTTCTTGCGAAATTAAGGCAGCTGAAATACCCCAATTTTTGCCGACGCGATAAGGACGTTCTTCGCGTATATTCAGAATAAAAGTTGAACGTGTTTTCCACTGAAACCACGGTTCAAGGACTAAAATTTTCTCAAAGCATTTATAACAATGAAGCTGACAAAACGTACACTAATTCCAAAGACGACATACGCTATGGTATAAATTAGAAAAATACTTTATTGTGCGTATTGTATTACACAGTAAATTTAGATTCATGATAGTTTACAGCGTATGGTGCTTCAAATATTAAGATGATAGTTTATGTTTTCCTTAGAACAGAAAAATTAATCTACACACAATTTAAACTAACATGAGTAAAACGTCGAGTAACATAATTTGGTGGTATTGTTACCAAGATATGTAACTGTAATGTGTGTATAATCAAATAAATAATGGTTTTTTTTTAAGAAGAACTTAGGAACGAAGTTTTCCAAGCGTGTTCTTAATGCCTATTTGCTTTTCAATACTCACTATTGTTCTTCGGACTAGAATCGCTCCCTCTAAATCTACGGTAGGCAATAAGTTCTTGTTGAAGTACTTTGTTACACAACAGGGATCACAAAACTTCGTGTCAATAAGAGCCATATAGTGGAATTCAGAAAAGTTTGAGAGCAGCAACTAGATTTTCCAAAAGCCACAAGTCCATATTTATAGTATTTTAAAAGTAGTGAAGAACGTTTTAAATGGAAAGAAGCGTCTGATTCTAAACAATCATTCAATGACAGTTTTCCTTCGGTACATGATGATGCATCGAAGAAGTTTAGGGGTGTCTGTGTTTTCCATAATTACAGCTTGATGCTGTAAAATGTACTCTTCTAATTGTTAAATACTCTGATTCGTCTGCTATAACTTCTCATATATATCGATTGATCACAGCTTTGTTATACTCATGAAACTTTGGAATCTTCTTAAATTACAGCTCCAACGACTCGCATGTTTTTCTGCTACCTCAAAATTATCTCGTAACACCCCTACATGCTTTCTAAAAAGAAATAAAATTAATTAATTACTTTCTTTTGATTATTGAGTATTTAAAATATAAGGTTTCCTATCATGATGATGATTCTAAACTCGATACGTGACCCGAAATCAGAGAATATATAGTATTTGGGCAGGTTTCTGAAGAATGTGGCAAACCCAAGTTTTAAAAATGTGGCATCGAAATACAGCAATACCAAAGCGAAATAACATTTTACATTTATAAAGTGCCATTTATGGGTATCTTTTATTTCAACTAAGGTGGTATCTTAAAGCATATTTTTTACAGGTGGTCGTGAGGCACAAGAGCGCTGGCCTTGTTCCAGACAAGGGACAGTGGACACGCAGGTGAGATCGTTTATAGATGATGATGACGACGATGAAGATGATGATGATGATTTGGAGGAAGAAGAGAAGGATGTATATGGAGTTATGGGAGCCAATTTTCCAGCCTTGGAAATAATGGCCCTTTATGCCGCGGCAGCCATGCACGATTACGATCACCCAGGGAGGACTAACGCTTTTCTAGTGGCCACTTTCTCACCACAGGTAACGAAAATATGCTACTCATGCACAACAGTAATTACATTATTAAGTAAATACGTGTGCAATTGTTATTATTCTTTTAGACATTATGAATTCAAACCTCTTAAGACCTTACTTTTAAAAGTTAAACTTAAATATTCTAGCTTATGCTAGAATATACAAATACTAACAGATACGAACATAAGGATGCATTGATATTAAGATAAATATGAAGAGAGACACATATGTAAGATACAAGAGTAAACAAGATAATAAATACCTATAGGTCATATGTGTATTGCTGGTATCCTTGGTTCAATGTGTGTGAGCACTTAAACACAGAGATGAAGCTATTAGTACCGGATGTCGAGTTATGTGCCAGGAGTTAGGTTAGAGTTCGCTGAAAGAATCTGCACATAGTTCAAATTTGCAAGAGTTCAGGCTACCTAAAGTTTAGTGTACACGTGGTACCTAATAGCACTAAATTTGGAGTTTGGCACAGTCACTAAGTTTTAATGCAATTGCTATAGGTTGGTACAGTCACACAGCGCAGAACTAGTTAGGCACAGTAATTTCAGTACACAGTTACAATGGTTGCACAGTTACTATGACTGTGAACAAGTACGGTGTAGTACTGATCTTTCTTACTGTGCACTAGTGCTTACTAGTCGGAGTTGGTGCATGAGTATACGTGCGGTGTACCTTCATTGCAATAGGTTGGAAGGTGATGTAGGCATTCGAAGGCACTTTGAGTTGACACAGTGGTACTCTCTAGCACACCGGTAAGGTAAGTTCTAAAGAAGATTGACGTGTGCACATAAAGTGAAGGTGTGGTGGGCGTATGTCATACAGTTTAATAAATATATGCATCGAAATACGTATATTCTTTTTGACCGCTGCAGATGCCACTGTATGCATCTAACATAGCACTCCCAGCTCCGACGGTAAGTCGCTGAACACTGGTAGTTCGGTCCGAGTTCGATCCAGCGAACGGCTGGCATGGGGTTTTAGGGGTGCCCCATGGTACGTGTATACGAGCCGTTTCCCTAGATCCTAACGAAGGCATCCCTCCCCTTAGGCAGATAGCCCTAGTATGCTTTGCCATAATTCAATAAACCAAACCAAACCAATGTAAACGTATGCTGCTGTAAAATATTTTATGATTTTATGTTAAATTTTATGGGGCGTAAATGCGAAGAAAGCAATGCATAATAATAAACCTGGAAAGACAAAGTTGTGTTAACAGGGGTGACACCAAGAGCAGACTGGCAGACAGCTCAGCGACAGCATAAAAAGCTTAATAAATCTTCTAGTGCGACGTTAAAATTAAAATTTTTTCATATTTTCTTTCTTTATAAGCACTTTTATTTTGTTTTAATTTTAGGGTAATGTGATTTTATTTTAAATTATATTTAGAGAGATTTTTATCTCATGTGATTTTATATATTTGAGTAACAATACACATAAAATTTTAAATGTCTGAAAACAATTGCTTTGTCATTAGCCAAAAGGAGACTAAGAGCACTTACGTAATAGCACAATCATCTTGATAGAGCTTAGCCATTTTTTACAGCCGAGAAAGAATGACGACGTATGATTGCAAACACTTATATAGTACATAAATATGTATTATATATATATATATATATTACATTTCACTTGGATATTTATCTGTAAATTCAGTTAATAAATCAACGAGCTTTTGTTTCTTTTCTTCTGGTAGAAATTTCGTGGCTATTCAAAATAACCGATCTCTTCAGAGATTTTGTGGCAACGTTCTTGCAGATATTTCACAGCAGTTTCTTACATTTCAAGAAAATTCTACAAGCGTATACTTTAAAACTGAGTTTACGATGAAAAATATCACAATTTATTGATAAAAACTGTTAAAATAGAATAAAAAGATGAATAAGAGACTGGTGATATTGCTTGTTAAAACTAAAGAACTGTTATGCGCATGGTTTCTATAGTGTGGAGCATTCTGCAGATTTAGTAACTTCTGCTACGTTAATTATGTTCATACGTAGGTACCAAGCTAACTATAAATGAATTTTGACTAAATATGCTTTGTTTTTTAACAGGCGGTTCTTTATAATGATCGTTCAGTGCTAGAAAATCATCACGCTGCAGCTGCTTGGAGCTTGTTTCTATCAGACAGTCGTTTCAACTGGTTGCAACATCTAGATGCAGCAGAATTCAAGAGATTCCGGTTTCTAGTCATAGAGTGCATACTGGCCACTGATCTCAAACGCCATTTTGACATTCTGGCAGAATTTAGCGCCAAAGTAAAATACTATTTTACATCCAATATTATATAATAATTAACAAAATGAATGATTACCTTAAGTTACTTTGAGTACAAAATTATGCAATAAATATTTTTGCATCAACATGATGAATATTAACTGTTGTATATTTTGTTCCACCGTTTTTTTTTTTTCCTGTCTGTAATTTTAATTTTAATTTAATCCCAACAGGAACCAACTTCAAAAAATTTATTTAAAGCTTATTCAGTAAATTCATTTATTTAAGACAAATAATGCAATTTTTAAATTAGACGCTTAAACTTTGTGGACTTTTTTTGCATCAACATGATGCAAAAAAAAATGTACTGCAACATGGGAAATCTTTTTTGTTTACAGTTTGTTACAAGATAGTCCTCGTGTGCTTCGCTTTATTAAAAAAAATGTCTTATGGATTTTTAGTGTGTACATTTCACCAAAAACTCCCCAAAGAGGCACTAATATGAACACGATAAATTTCTTGTGTTTGGATTGAATTCCATAATTTTGTAATTGCATCCAGAACATCTTCGAATCTTCTTGGATATATGGACACAGATGTCTTATTCTGTCGTAAAAGACTGTCATAAATTCTGCAACAGTGAAGTAGTTCGACGCATGTCGTAACGGAACCATATCTGTCTCGGGTAAATGGACACATATTTTTTTAAACACGTAAAAGACTCTCATAAATTCTGGACCAGTGAGTAGTTGGATGCGTGAAGTAAGGAAACCATTTCTATCTCGGATATATGGACACAGATGTTTTTTTTCTGAAATACGTAAAAGACCCCTGAATTTTTTTTTTAAATATTCTTTCCTTTGTCTTTCAGTAAATGTTGCAGCTGTTAAAATAAAATTTTTTTGTGGTATGAATCATATACAGACAAACGCGACATCAAAATTAGCTATTGAGATAATAATAGCTATTCTAATTGTGAGACAAAATACTGTCATGAAATGTGATAAGTTTTATGATCAAACGTTCGGGAAACTCAAATTTGCTGCGTAAGATAAATGTTCATAACATATGACCTTGGCGAAATATAGCCCACTTATAAGGCGTACTTAAATTTTATACCTCTTTTGTTCCTGAAGAACTATGGCAGGCTCAACATGTTTATGTCATAAAACTTTTTCTGACGTCATTTTTTATCATAACTAGCTCATTCCTTTTACGCCACCTTGAAGTTCTGCTTTTGTTCTGCAGAAATATGGTTAGCCCAGAGTTTAATGTACTTTTTGTTTACAATTACTTCAGTATTAATATGCTTAAAGGTGGTGTTAACTATGAAATAGAATGCATTGATCACCAGAACTATTTTATTCCCAGATTACAGACGAAGAATCTCCTGTGTTGGATTGGAGCATCGAAGCCGACCGTCTTTTGGTTATGCAAATGGCAATTAAATTAGCGGACATCAATGGTCCCTGCAAGTGCCGACAATTGCATGTACAGTGGACGCATCGCATTGCTGAAGAATTCTACGAACAAGTAGGTATCATATGGTTCTTTTTGTTAATTTGCTTTGTTCGATATGATCATTAGGGGTGCCATATTCCATATTGTTAAGCCCGGGGTTTGAATCCTTTGAAAGGCATGGATGTTTGTAAGCATACAACATAGTTTTGGCTTGGGAGCACTTAAAATATACTGCTGAGCCGAAACTCCTCTCCAAATGTTAGTAGTAGGGGTAGAGGGAAAAGAGACACTTGCATCAATGACCTAGAATATTCTTAATCAAATTAGGGAAAGACCTGGGCAAACTAATATTTTCACGTATAAGATGCCCAAGGTTTGCCCGATGACAGGTGTCACCTATAAGGTGCCCAAGGCTCGACCGAGACAAGCAATCATTTCTATCTCGACCATGAAGAATCCCATGCAGCTGATCAGGGTTATGTTCAGATCATAATACAAAATCTTATGAGTTTGTCTTCAGGCAAGCTGTGCTTTCAGGTCAATGTTTTGTAAAATAGATCAAGCTTTCTAATAAAAACGTTTTCAAGAAAATAAAATTATCGGCTGTAAACATTGCCGCTGCCTGTTTAGGAATGGATATTACACAAGGTAGTCAGTTAGATTACTGACTTATGCAGAATGTTAAAAGAGGTTGTGAGCTTTTCTTTCATTTGAAGCTGAATAGGTTGATGTTTCTTGAAGCAATATGAAAACATTTTCATTGCTAAATTTGCTGAACTTTTCTTTTTCATCAGAAGTTTATGCAATGAGATTTTAAAATTTCTTAGCTATTGATAAAGATTATTTAAATCTGTGTTTTGCTACATATCTAAGAGTTCTTCTTAAAATAATAATTTATTTCATGTAAGTAAGTAAAATTGCTTTAAAGACGTGATATATTTTAAAAGTTTCGAATTTAACTATGCATCTGAAGCATGCTTACGTAAAATGTGGTTATTTTAAAAGTAATTTTAAAATTATGCTTGCATTTTGTCCAATCGATTATACTAAAACATACGAAGGCTGTTTGCTAGATAAGGTTATGACTTAAATAATCTGTCAGTGTATTAGATAATTAGGCAGTATAGATAGTATAGTCATATAGTTACAACGTTTGTACTGTTAAGACACAATGTAAACGAAAAAATTTCAAATGTACATCCACGTCTCATAGTTATAAAAAGAAAAGTATGTTTTCTCTATCCGCTGTTATAGTGTAACTTCCTATTCATATGGAATAAATATTTATAATAAAAAGTGGATTAGTAAATTATAATGAGAACTAACAGCACTTAAATACTGTGTTTTTAATTATGAAATAAAATATTATGATCAATATACGCGACATCTCATGCTGTCCAGATGCATAGGAATTTCTTCTGCTTTTTTCGTAGCAACGCAAATTCCATTTCTCAGTAAAATGTTTACTGCGTAAATACTGTTACGTTTTTCTCTTCTGACACCAGTTGTTGCGTTATTTTCTTCCTTCACGTTCGTACGGGGTTTGTAGATTTGGAGTGAATAACGACGACAACATGATATGAGTATCGAAACACACTTTTAGCAATATAATCAGGGGCAGCTCCAATAACACTTTTACAGTCGTCGAAGATCTACTCAAACCGCAGGAACAATCACGACACAGCTTCACACTGTCAGGCAATAACGGTGGAGACAGCTTCCGCAAAGCACCAGACCCTGCTTTCCGAATTAGCTCCCTTCTCTGCTGGTCGTCTCGGAACTCTCCATACTCTCGAGACTCTCCACGCTACAACTCGCGATGCCCGACCACACAAGAGCACAGCTCCCGACTCTTCGGTTCAGTCTTTCCCGGAGTCAACACGCTCTCTCGACGATACACTAACAGACTCCCTCGGCGCACTCGACGACCCACTCGGCACTCGCTGCCCTGCTGTCAACTTGTCGACTCCGCACGGACGACTCGAACGAGACACCTCAATACACTCACCGACGGCAGACCAGCAGTTTTATATAGCTTTCGCTTGTTTGAGAACATTCTGGGCTAAACCGGTAAGAATTCGTCCAGAAAGTTCTCCATCAGTCCATCATATCGCCAATCTGTCGCCAATGGCGATTCTCGCCAATCGCAACCCCGCCTTCCCTTGCCATTTTATGGCAACCCTAAAACTGCTTTGCGGGGAAGCTATCTTACCGCGCCTGGACATTTCGTAACAATACTAATAGATTTTTTGAAAGCAGAAAATGCAAAAATTCAATTATGTTTTTGCTGAGATTTAAGCTCATATCTTCCAGATGCCAGTTTGACTTACGCCGCAAGACCACTCTCTAGAAAATGCGATAATTCTTAACATCCATTGTCACTTAAAATACAACTGAAGAAACGCTAGAAATCTAGTCGCCCAAATCGAGTTCTTGATACTTCCACATTTTAGATGGAGAGTCACTGATTTTAAGATTTTCGGACATTTAACTTTTCAAAGCGTACTCTCGCCGGGATTCGAAACGCAGATCTCCCATTTGTAATAATTATCATTGCTAAGTTATCATTCTAACGCAGGTAACCTAGAAGGAACTTAATTGGGTATGATTTCATTATTATTATTTTATTAATTCTAATTGGGTATGATTTCATTATTATTTTATTAAATGTCAGTAGTTTACAGCACTGCCTTACAGCAAGATGTATTTTTATTTGCTACACATTTTGACAAACATTACACAATGTTAATAAATATATTCTGATTCATTATTGAAAAATTTGCTGTTTCTTCACAGGGAGATGAAGAGCGGGCGTTGGGCTTACCAATCTCACCTTTTATGGACCGTGATCGACCTCAGCTGGCCAAACTTCAAGAGTCTTTCATCAATCATCTCGTAGCCCCACTCAGCAGAACATACGCTGAAGCCGCCTTGCTGCCAGGAGTTTGGGTGAGATTGGCAGATGACCAAAGTAAGAGCTTTAGAACATTGTACTCTTTTTTATGATAGAATTTTTACTTCTCACATCAGTGCGAGTTTGGATAAAAAGTTACTTAATTTCCTTAATTTACTGAAATATCAAGATGTCCAACTATGTTAAAATGACGAATTTTAGAAAAATATATCATGTATTCCCTTGCATACATTTTATCTTACATTTACATATAAGAAAATGACTTACGCATGTAAGTACAGCGGTTCCGATATGCAATAAGGCGTTTGCACTAGGAAAGCGATCCGTTTGGCGGACATTTTGGAAGTTTCTGGAAAATGCATTAGCAGTGCTGAGCAGTCCATGGCATATCGCTAATGTTGTCGCCAAATGAACGATTTCTCGCCAATTGTGGCAACCCTGCCTTCCTTTGCCGTTTTATGGCAACCCTGCCTTCCTTTGCCGTTTTATGGCAACCCTAAAACTGCTTTGCGGGGAAGCTATCTTACCGCGCCGGGACATTTCGTAACAATACTAATAGATTTTTTGAAACCAGAAAATGCAAAAAATCAATTATGTTTCCGCTGAGATTAATAAGGCTGCTCAGAGTTAATTCAGTTTTACCTCTGTCTTTATTCTTTAGTTACTTATAGCATTATGAGATGAAATTTGTTTCAATAAAATAACACTTTCTTCGTGTTATTCTGGTGAATATTTTATCAGATTTCTACAAGCCATAACCCTCAACAGTATCTTCAGAAACGCGCCATATATGACGAGTTTTCTCGTGACTAACATTTTCCTTCGCAGAAAAAAATCTGTTAACTTTCCAACATGTTATTAATGTGTGGCTATGCTGTAAAGGAAATTTTTCCATGACGATTTGCAGAGTGACTTACTTTAAAATACTTTCAGGCACAGAAGAGTTATCGGAGGATGATTTAGATTTACCCCGGCGTGTGGAGGAAATAATCACGGGTAAGTAGCTGATTTCATGTTTATGTGCATTTTCTCTCTCATTAGTGTGCACTATTTAATTACAAATATCCTCTCCCTTCCTAGCTGGAGGAATGCTGAAAGGAGGAATTCGAAGACGCCGAAAAGCCGTTCTGTGCCAGCAAACTAAAAACTTACAAGATAATTACGACTATTGGTTAGCTGTGCTTAGGAGAGAAGAAGAACAACAAGAAAAGATACTGGATACTTAAATGGTGAGAATGGACTTCCTTCCTAAAAAAACTTATCCTTATTTCCTCTTGCATTTAACAGCTATGGAAAGTGAGCTCAGCAAGTTTTAAGACCACGTTCTTAAAAAATCGAAGATTGAAAACGGTAGCTCATTCTTACAATTTTTGAAATTCTTCCTAATACTTGCCACGTTTATACAGTAGTTTGATTATAGAACTCATCTTTTGGAATAATTTTAAGTCTCTCAGTATTCTGAATCGATTCAGAGCCATCAAAATAACGACCATTCGTTTTAGGGACGAGAAAATAGTTTTCAGGAGCCAAACCTGGTGAATAGGAGAAAATGGTTGAGAACTGCAACACCTTTCTTTGCCAAACCGCTTAATGATAATGTAAATCTATGGTAATGCATCTTTGTATAGAACAAACCAATTATTCAATTGAGTTTTTTTAGGACTAATGTGCTGAATTGCCTTCAGAAAACCATTTTTATGGAGTTCATCGTTTATCATCAGGATCAGATTCCACAGGAATTATCTTTTTCAGTTTAAAATGATCACCTAAATGGTCTTTACTCGACATTTCTGAAACGGTTGTTTTTGTTGTTGCAGTGAACATTCTACAATCCAAGTAGATAATAAGCTTTACATGCGATATAGTGAGCAAGGCATTAAATCTCATATACATTCGCAATTTGTTTTAAAAAGTCAGTAGTAATTTTTGCTCTACAGAAAATTTTATTGCTGTTTTTTGTTTGGGTATTTCATCCACGTCAACAGATGGATTAACCTTTTGAGGCCGGGGATTTGGTAGCAGTAAAAGTTACCAAAGGACGGGGAATCTAGCCATGCTTCCTCCTTACGAAATCACCTGCTATTGCCACAAAGCTTCTTGTGTGTAGTTTCCATGGATTCTCCTGGGGTGCATCTACGTCGCAAAACAAGATCTTTGAAAGGATAATGTTACAACCCCGGGACTTTCAATTTGACATTTCAAATCCATCACCCACCTTTTTCAGCGGAAATGGGGTAAAAGCAATGGCAACTCAACGTGGACCACTCCGCCCCCGTGTTTAAAGAGCAGACTCTCCTGCCACTATAATGGCCATCCCGTCTTCAAAAGATTAACAGCATAGAAAATGCTGTCCATAAAATTGCGCTATTTTGGAAAAAGCAAATTTAGATATAACAGTAATAAATTCAGTTAATTATCATTTCACAGGTTAACAGGAGTTTGATAATGAAAGGTTTATCCTAAAACTTTGTAGACGCATTGGGTAAAATAAAATCGTGATGAAAATCTATATTATCTATAAAGTTTCTCCTGAAAATGAATATTCTACTGTTCCTAATAAAGACTACCATGCATTTAGGATAAATAAATAAAACAGTGTTAAGGAACTAATAAAAGGGTTATTTCGACTGTAGAATATCTCGTCTTTTTTGACAGGTTTGAGCATATTTCGCATTCTTTACCTGAATTATTCTGAAGTGAATCTTGATCATTTTTTGCCCTAAATGTTATGGCGAGGAACCAGGCAGACCGCAATGTCATTTTCTGATAACGGAGAAGCATGGATATTTGTAAATGAGTATCGCCTTTGCGGTACAGTATTCGTTAAAATACCAATGAGCCAAAAGTCTCCCTTCAGAGAGGTTGTTGGTAGGCAAGAAAGGATAGGAGATCCTTGAGTCAGTAGATAATATTTTTTTAGGAAAATGTCAATATGATTGACTGTGTATTATAACTTTGATAATCTGGGTTTTTCATAGCATGTATCTTACAGCTTTGTGTAATTGCACTTTTTGAAAAATACAAAGTTAAATTGTTATTTATTTCACTAACTGCAATGCATTACTAGTACTTAGCCCTTATTACTGATGTCATGACTATTATTATTTTCTAAACGTTACACATCAATTAGTATTTTTCAAATTTATTGTATGTTGATTGGCTCTAGCTACATTGTTTGTTATAAATGTTTGCCTCCCAATTTTTTTATCGCTCAATGTTCAGTCAATGTCAATTACTGCAATAAATACGGTAAACTAGTATAACCATTTTACACAAACAATTACGCTTCTGTGTGTCTCCTGTTTTTATACCGTTTTGCACTTCAGCACTATAAATAAGCACATATAATTATTCTGTTACATATTAGTCTGTAAATAAATGTCTGTTTGAGCTGTCGTCCATGGCCTTGCCTGGAGTTTGTCAACAAGGTAGATTTCATTGGCGGTGAGATACATTGGCTGTGTTCTCAGATGCTGGTAAATTGTGCTGCCAACGGAGTAAAAGAGATGTTCTCCATAAAAACTGGGACCCAGCTGTGGAAATTCATGCTTAACCTTTTGAGGCCGGGGCTTTGGTAGCAGTAAAAGCTACCAAAGGACGGGGAATCTTGAACCTTTAATCTTGACAAACTTGCCCCTCCTTTAAGAAATCAACACCTCTTTATTATGCACAAGATTCTTGTGTGTATTTAATGGATTCTCATAGGGGTGCATCTAGGTCGCAAAAGGAGACCTTTGAAAGCATAAGTGGTTAAAACCCTAGGGACGTCAAATTTTGACATTTCACCCCACTTTTCACATTCAAGCCCTGGAAATGGGGGGAAAGACAATAGCCACTAAAGTGGACAACCCCGTCTTTTCAAAGAGAGGACTCTATGGCCGCTATAATGGCCATCCCGTCTTCAAAAGGTTAACCAATAAGGTGGCCAAGAGCTTGACTCAAGAAAGACCTTTACCTCTTGGTCTCGATAAAATTCATGTACCTAATCTGGAATCTGAGTCAATATCAGTAAGAACGCAAGTAACAACAACAATGATGATGAAGAACTTCTTTTCTTTTATTTCAGGTTTCCAGTCGAGGGACCAGAGACTCCTGTACATAGACTAGAAAGAGAGACCCGTAAGTGCGGGCGTTTCAGGACTCTCGCTTTGAGAATGCATGCATCTGCGCCCCAATGTGAACTACTACAATTTGCGCGTGCAGGAACTCTTGCGAGACAATCCAGAGCTTAAATTTGTCGGACCTTTTTCCAAGCAACTCTTCAATTCTTTCTGTGATATCCCACCTCTACGGAGACCCGAACCCCTTGACCTCTCCCAGAGGGGTGGACACCGCCACTGGACAAGTTTCCCTCTTCGTCTACGGGTTCTGATCGTCCGAAGGGAAGCTGTGTACAAAGGTGGCCCATTCTGCTACATCTTCGCCCCCAATCTCCTTTGATCGAAAAACCTTCTTTCCCCTCTATTTTCGTCGTCTGTTTATATGGCAGAGAACAGAGGCGACGCTCACATATAGCTTTTAAATAATAACGCAACCAGAGAATCAAAATATCGTCTCCTTAATCAAATAATATTCTTCAGTTATAGTAAACAAGTCTTTTTAATTTGCTGTTAGTGGCTTCGGCACTGATCCCTAAGCCTGGAATATTCTCAGAAAAAATGTTATGATTATGCATTTTTATTTCCAGTCAGCGCCATCGTGAAATTATATTACCGGGCGTAGAAACTATTTGCTGGATGTTTTTGTTGATAGTATCCGAGTTTCGGAAGTCAGTGTTTTGAGATTAAAAAAACATGCTAAATAATTTAGAAATACACATAATTCAAATGTTTCGTTTGAATCATGATGCAATTGACAGTTGTTAACCGGCAAATTATGCTTTTTTCTTCAAATACTCCATAGTGAAAACAATTATCTAGCGCCATAAAACTAAATGTTTCTGAAAATCTGTGCCTATAAAAGTATTCAATGTTTTGCTCAGAGGTTAAAATTTTCCAGAGTATGAAATGAAAGAGCTCTTCGCCGTTTAGCACACACACAATATTAGAAAAAAGAAGTCCGTTATCAACTTTATATCAGAGTCCAAGTTTTTACCCTTTGCTGTATTTCGTTAGCTATATATTTGATTCATTTATTCCATTCTTTGAGTTTTAAATGACAAAAACTGCTATTTTACTATTCTTAAATGACAAGCAAATGTCTATATTAGTATAAACGTTCAGAAAAATTAATTTATAATGCATTTACCAGCTTCACAGAGTGTCTAATTTTTGTTAGCTTAATTACCCATCGCATAAAAACCTTTTATATTTAACTAAAAACTCTCGAATTTACAATTTATTGCCATAACTTTATTCACTGAATTTATACGAAATTTAAAAAAAAATTACTAAATCAAGTTTTTAAAAAACTTTTTGTAAAGGAATAAAATTGACACAAAAATAAATAAAAATATGCTGAAACTTCACCTTAATTAATCGTGACATTCGATCAGGTTCCGTAGAATAATCCTGAAACCCATTTTTTTTATACATCCTAAATATTAAATTGTGTAAATAAAGTAGAATCAATCAATTTTAAATTCAGAAATTTATTTTTGTAAGTAAGAATTATATTATAAGTAAAAAGAATTTTCTGAATTAAGATCATTATCTTCGGATTTCCAAAACTAACATTTGCTTCAACTTATTTAGATTTTTGATTACTGTAAGATATATAATAATGTTTTGATTAATATAAAATATAAAATAATTTATCGCAAATAACATTTGTTGACAGTATTCTTTGTACATAAAAAAGTGAAATTCAATGCAGAATAAAAACATTTTTTATATTGAAAAATATAAGCAAAGCAAAATAGACTACTGTCAACTTCCGACTAAACAGGGTGACATACGAAACACCGTTAACTCTAATCACGTCAACCAAATAGCGGCGAAAGAAACGTAAGAAACAGAAGTAACCCATATGGGACATTAATAGAAAAATACGAGTATTACCTGCATTTTCAAGCAATTTAATCTGAAAAATATGTTCGCTAGTTTACGTAAATTTTATCAGTATTCAAGTAAGTTAAACAAAGAGACCCCATTGACAATAACGAAGGAATAAACATCATCAGGAATGAAGAAAATAAGCTACAAATGGTATGAAATATTGTTGCGTGCGTACGGGTTCGTTATGAAATGAATGCACAAGTCCGATGAAAAATGAAAAAAATTATATTATCACAACAAAAAGCTTAATGTTCCAATTATATGCAGTATTTCAATATTCACAGTGTTATCTGTTAACTACCAAATGTCAATAGAATGTTCAAAACATCTAAGAAAAAGCTACTCCGCGAATTCGTACAATCAAAGTTACAAGAGAGTTTTCTAACTAACAAAACTAAGACTACAACACACGAGATGTTTTTTCCTCTTTATAAATTTTAAATCACGCGCTAGAATTTTCCATACTTCTCGAATCAAAAAGAGATATTATTATTAATGCACGCGCTCTGTATTTTCAATTTTCGGCTTCGCTGTCTTTTAATAGTCGTCACGCGTGACGAGCGAACAATAAAACCATTTATTTAATGAACTACATTACTTTTTAATACAAAATTCGTACATATGATTTACAGAGAATATTGTCATTAACTTCAAACTCGAACAAAAAAGGTTATTAGAGTGTTTTTTTTTTAATCTCATGCATTCATCAAACCATATTGTACACCAATTTAAATATTTTATATACAAGATATCACTCACCACACCAACAAAAAAAAAAAAAAAAAAAAAAACTTTGGGCTATAAAACCTTCGGCACTATCGGTTATCTTTGCTGCTATCCAATGGCTCTTTAACCCATGGCTATTTCTCTTTTTCCAATGCCATACCTTTCGTGTAAAGGTGGATCATTCGAGAATAAACAAACTCAACTTTTTTTTTCCGACAAGGAACGGTTAATGTGCCTCTAGATAACTGGGAGTTGAGTAGTGTTCATGTAAAATAATACCGTTGTGGATAACAAATTTGACCTTTTCTGCAATTTCGTAATAAATTTTGTCTAAATTTTTAAGTATCTGAATTTTAGGAATTTTGTGAAAATTAAATTTCTGATATTTTCCTCAACATGTCAAAGACCTTTTAAAAGCAAATGATAATTCTAATGATTATGCAAATATTTTACAATGAAGCATCGTATTAAAAAAATTGTGATAATGATTTTTTCGGAGTACTCCCAGATTCATTTTGTGTTTATTTTAACAAAATAGTATTTGAATAATTAAAGTGGAATAAATCCATTTTTAAGTTTAAAATGTTAGCATTCGTAACGTAGAATTAAATTAAATTTAAACGTAGCATACGTTCCTGAATCATCATCGACTTCTGAACGTGAAAGAATCAGTATTTGTTTCAGATACTAAACTTGGGTTACAGATTTAATAAGCAACAATATTCAGTTTCAGTTGACAAATTTAGATTATCATCTTTTGTACCTTAAGTACAGAGAAAGTTAATATTTGAATGGCCGGTCATATCTAAACGAAAAAAAAAAAAAAATTGATGTGTACACCACATGACTTATTTGTACGGAATATTAAATTATACGCATTTTTCTTGCATTTTATTTAAACTTATTAGATGAATTAACCTACTTCGGCCGAAGCGCATAAACCACAATAGAATAAATCATTCTTTAAAATCACTTGTTTACCATAGCGACAATCTGCGTAGTTTACTTAACAGTATATTTCGTTCATATTAGAATGCACAAAATTATATCATTTAAAGAATATCTAATGTGCCACATGTTCTATCAATACTATAATAAAGCTAAACTATTAGAAAAGAAATTAAGCAAACAACAAAACAGAAACAGTTTTTCACAGACGATGGGATTCTCATTAATTTCAGTTCTCATTTCACAAGCAAAAACATAAAAACTCAAATCTATAAAATTACGAATAAATCTCAAAACTTATTTCCTCGAAAAATTCAGAAAGATTAACATAATAATTGGCATCATAATGATGCGTTATCTTTGTTGGTGCTAAGCTAATTTCTCTAGATGCAACGAACCACTAGTCTCCTGTTTCAAAGAACAATGGCCCCATTAACAACGACTATCGGCAATTAAACAACTTAAATTGCTGCACTTCGAAAATATGACACACAATTAAATAAGGCATAAAATCTTAACCGAAAATAAAAACCACAGAATTCATCATTTTAAACAAATAGTACAATTACAAACATATAAGAGTAAAGAACTGAGATCACTGAGCCGGTAATAGAGTGGATATATATATAAATATATTTATATACTTTGGTGCGCGATTGCAACCAAGATACGAGGGCACATCTTCATGTTTAGCATCCTATATACAATTCAACGTCGAGGCTACGGTTTTGAGTATGAGATACGGACGGTAACGTACATACGTTCGTACAGACGCCACGAAAAAATTCTCTTCGACTTAATTAAAGCATTATAATTTTTTGAAGGAAATGGGTATTTTATTCTCTCCTACTACGATATCACGCAAACATCGGTAAAATTGCATTCGATAGCGGTCAAAATGGATATTTCGTTCGTTGAAATATGCTGCCTGAAACCTTTCGCTATTACAATACCTCCTTTTTACTTCGTACAAGGAAGTAAAAAGGAAATAAATGCTAAACTTGTAATTTTAATATATATTTCAGATATGTACTTATCTTACACAAAAGCAGTACGTTTTTATAGTTCTGCCTTCGCTTCAGCATGAAAAAGCTTTATTAAAGGCCCACATGGGACCAATTATCGACTGGTTGGGTCAGTAGCTCGCAGAGGAATTAGGCTGGTTTTAATGCATAGTAAATATTGTTTAACCAGATAAGACCTAGGATTGTAAACAAAATTCTTTATGGTAATGAGGAACTGCAGGCAAGTATAAGACGCCTTTCTGAACACAGTGCCTGCCATTAATTACTTATAATGTAAATGCATGCACAATGTATCTGTTTATGTGAACATTTAGAGATCATGTCGTCTAGATGTTTCAAATGAGATGCTTAGATTGAATAATGTGGTAATATGGTTAATGACTTTATGCGGAAAATGGTAAATAAACTATTGCCTGTTAACTAATATGCATCAGTCCTGTGAACCTTAACAGTCTAAAATATAGCTGTAACAAAGATTCGTTACGTTGACACCAAGCGATATGGAAATGGGCTCGATGTTATTATATTCTCTACTGCTGGAAGCTCCCTGGGCATGTATAGAAAGAGAGCATCTGCTACAGCAGTAAAATTTAGCTCATTAGCTAAATTATCTTGTAATGGTAAGTCTTTGACGTTCCCACTCATATCACGTTGAGATGGACCTACGTGGAGTTTTCTGTGTCCAAGAAAATATTTAAAAGAATATATAATCATACGACCTTATCCTAATATGGGGTATCATAGTCTGGTATCTTTTTACGTTTGTTCGAAATGAAGTATTGCTCTTATTATAAATATCAACGTACATTTTGTCGACTGTCACTATATTATCACTCTTTTCTGAAGTTCTCGTAAAAAAATTATATTATAGTAGTGTAATGAAACATTTATAATTTTTTTCATATTTCCTCTTAGCTAAAATATTTAAGCGCCTCTCATTTATGTTTTAAAAGCATTGGTGTTTCGTTTGTTATACGCAATTTGCTATTAATATAAATTTATAATTTGTATTTCTTATTTAAAATTACTCTGTACTCAGTATTATACTTTAGAAATTATTGTTTTTAACAAGTAAATAATTCTATAAGTAATATCACGTTCATTTAGGTTACTTCATTCGATTCGAAAACATTCCGTATTTTGTAGTCAAAATATAAAATATACAAACTGTCTATAACTGATGCAGTCGTATGTAATGTTCCTAAACTTGTAGATTTTGTGTGTATCTATGAGCTTTCTGGCTAGAAACACAAATAAACACTTAAATGAATTAGAAATCCAGTAGTATGATCTTAGTTTCAGTACTATATTTGCCGCAAGCCTGGAGTATGCGCGCAACGTACAAAGACATATCGCAAAGACATTTAATCCTCAGTACAAATATTGCTGTAGATTAGAAATTGCAGTCAGATAACGTCGGATTTTCCTGGTAAAGAAACGACGTAAGTAAATCCTGAAGTTGATACATCTCTACAAAGAGAAATTTAAGATTTCTTTATATTTTTATTTCCCTAACTATAAATCACGTTTATTGATGCCTTTCGGTAGCTCACTGGATACTTAGTTCTTGTAGAAATGGTTCATGGTTCGTTAAAAATGTCCGGTGGTGTTTTAGGATTTGAATAGTTAGGTGTAAAGGGTGTTGGAGATTAAACTGCAGACATTGAGAGTATGTTTGTTTTGAAACTTAATGCATAAGTGAATGTTAAATGTGAATAATGAAGATTTCAAGTTTACTTGAAACTAGTGAAAACTAGAGAAACTAAAAATTGTAAAAGTAACTAATAATAAGCAACAGAAATCGGTGTAACGTAAGTGAATTTGCAGGGCTATAATTTCGAAAATTAAATGGAGCCTGTAACAGCTTTAAATAATATTAAAATCTTGTAGATTAATTAATTTAATTAATAAATAATTTAAATAGATGAACATTAAGGAATTTGTGAATGGCAATATTTGAAACCAGACTCGAGCGACTCTGCACGAGAATGTAATTTATTTTAAATGAAGAATAGTTTCCTTTTCCTGTTGTATGTCGCCTTTTTTTAGTGTAAATAAAGTTATGCTGTGTTCCATCATGGCTTGTTCATTTCGCCAAAGAAGCATCAGCTTAACTAAATTAAAATCTTGTAGATTAAATAATTTAAATAGATGAACCTTAAGGTATTTTGATGGCATATTTGAAACCACCGAGTGCTCGTGCGACTCTCGCACGAGAATGTATTATTTAATATAAATCTGTTTTCTTTTCGGTTTGTATCCGCCATTTTTTTTATGTACATCAAGTATTGCTGTGTTCCATCATTGGAGTTGCTTCATTTCGCCAAAGAAGCATCACAAGCCTTTATTGTCAGTAGCGGGAATGAAAATGGCAGAAAAGGAACACATGTCTGCATGAGAACAAAAGAGAAAAATATAAAAAAAAGGTTGCGGTTAAATGACGGAAAATGAGCCTCGTTGCCATCTGCTGACCGAAATATTAGCAAAGAACAGCTAAAAACTAAATCCTTGGAAAGCTGAATGTAAGGAGTGATTACAGTTGAGATCAACAGAGAAACCCGAAGCATTTTTATAAATGTGGCATTCTTCCAAGAAATCCAACTCGCAACTACTTTTTGTGAATAATTTTGTGTGCAAGAAAATAAACTTTTTTTACCAGCACTCACGAGCAAAGAAGCATTAATGAATTTCTTTTAAAACAAATGTGTTATGCTCGTGCTTTTCGTTAGAGCGAAATTGTAAGGCTGTTTTGTATTCGATCATTGTATATTTAATAGCGCTAGTAAGGAACACTATAGATACGCCTATTTAGTTCATATCTAGTGTATAGTCTTTAAGTATTGAATGAAAGAATGATGATTAGAATTAAGATTATTAATCACTAAAATGGTTGCCCCTTCTCCTACGTTTGTAGCTATGTCTTATAGGAAAGGCAATTGAAAGAGGTCTTTTGAAGAAGAGAAATCTACGTTTGTTTAACTCCAAACTAATAGAGTTTTATTCAGAGTCTAAGCTAATTTAAGATTACGGCTAATCTTTAGAATATGGTAAAAGGTAGTTTGGCGACATTTTGGTAAGGCGATAAAGGTTTACTAGCTAGGACTTTAGCAATAATCTGAGAGTACACAGTTCGAATCACCGATTATTGGTCTAGAAATGAGGTCAGAGCCTTAATGTGAATTTTCGGAAACTTCCGATCTAATTTGCTAATAAGTACTTAGAAATAATTTCGCTGCTAAAGTGCAGAATCGCTCCTTATGTTTGCGACTTTTACAGTAAGAGAACTGGATTTTTGTCAATTTTCTTTGACTTTTTAAGTGAAATAGGTCGATGTGTACATAGATAAAGTCAGAGTGCGCAATGACATTTTTGTCAATTCTGGGATGTTTTTTTCAAGTGAAAATAGTCGACGTGTACGGACCTGTATGTGGAATTCTTAAAAACGCGGCGAGCAGTTTGCGATTCGCACTTTCTCCCAATTTCGCACCTGAATCTCGTCATGATTGCTTTTTGTTCCATAAGTTTGTATAAGCGTAGTTGGGCTAGCAGATTGTTGGAAAAAATGTTGAGGGAAAAAAAAAAAAAGAAGAGAGGGGGGGGAAAAAACATGCCTTTACTTCGTGAAAACAAAATGGCGTCCAAAACAAAACTAGCAGAGGTTGCTGTAGCAGGGTTAGTCGCCAAATTTTCGCCAAAAAATCGCCAAGTTACCATAATGTAAAGATTTACCAAGATTACTTCTTTGCCTGATTCTAAAGTGGCGTATTTCTATCCAACTAAACTATTAACATGCTTCTTTTTCATCATTTTCACTCCCACTGGGAAAAACGAATGTTCTGTGCAGCCTTGAGAACTGTAGACCTGCAAATATACTTACGTCACACCGATTTATGTTGCTTTTTATCAGCTTCTTTAGCATTTAGCTTCGGAGTGTTCTTTGGTTAGATTTGAAAGTCTAGTATGTGAATTTCAAGAGTAGCAATAACTGAACAATGCGTAAGAATGAACTCAATAAATATGTATCATTTGAAACTTCTGTAGATTCTGGTTTATCTGGTTAAACAAGCATTCTATTTCAACTCAGGTAAATTGAATAGTTGATTTATTTTCGAACTGCATGGACAGTCAAACCTTAATTCCAAATCAGTCAACTAACTGCATGGGCGTGGTCTCTGTTCTCCCGTCGCGGGTTATTCCGCATTGTAGTGTGTCGATGTAACCGTTTTTAATAAACGTTTCTTGCTCTTCCTATGTCTTTTGTTTTCCTTGTATTTGTCTTTTGTGTCATTTTTATCTAGAGATTGGACTAATGCTAAATTTGCTCCAATTGATATCCTGAAAGATTCTTAAATATTTCATTTAAAAGTAGTAAGAAGAAAAAAAAATGGTTTTAAATGAAAGCAAAATTTTGAGTGTGTACTTGACGAGAAACAAATTTAAAAAAGATTAGAGAAACTAATGAAGATACAAATTAAATTTGCTCAAAGAAGTGAGTAATTAAAACTTCTGAATCTGGAGGTTCATTCTCTTAACGCAATGTAAAGATATGGCCCATCTCGACAAACTGAATAAAGCAGTTTAAATATTACATTCACAACCATATATTCAATTTCAGAATAAATTCATTTCTAAAATGCTTACTGCCTAAAAGATATATAAGCATTAACTTCCATAATTTATTTACTACAACTATTCAATTCTTATTTTCATTTCGTAAACTAAATCAGTGTTCTTTTGGTGCACATTTCCAAACAACTGTTTAATCTATTATAATTACAAAAGTCATTACACTTGTTAAAAATATATAGAAGTGCCGCTAAATTAGGGACAGCAAGTCACTAAAGAGTGGAGCCTCTTCAGGTCTTGATAATGGCTGCCACAGATGAGGCATATATTCAACAAGTTTGCGCAAGCATTCTGCAGTAATGGCTTGCCAAACATCGTATGGAACTGTCAATAATTCAATAAGGGTCGCTAGTGTTGTGTAATGCGATTTCACAACTTTCTCCAAAACATCTGAAAGGTGCTCAGTAGGATTTGAGGCAGAACTTCTAGATAACGAATTTATGACAGAGAAATCAGAGGAATGCTCATCCAACCAGACAGTAACCAACTGGGACTGTGAGAGGTGAAGTTATCTTGCTGAAATACTCCATTTCCGTGTGAATGACAGGGCAACATATATGGTTGGAGATGATCGCCTAGCAACTCTCATATCGAGGGAGGTTTGTACAAGTACCAAAGATCTCACGCAATTCCAAGAGAAATCATCCCAAACCATGATTGAGCCGTCATGGCCTTGTACAATTCTAGCCAGGCATGCACGATCCATGGCTTCATGAGCTTCACGCCATATTCTCAGCCTCCTGTCGGTGTTAAGTAGTCGGAATCGGGACTCATCACTCCATCCTACTCGTTTCCAGTCTTCTAGAGTCCATTCTCTAGACCAAGTGTCCAGGCAAGACGTGCATCTCGATGGCATGTATTGAGCAACGGTAATTTCGGGGGTCTTCGGCTCCTGAAGCCCATTTAGTGAACATAGCTTTGCACGATCCATTTACTGACTAAATAACTGGCGCCTTGATTCAGCTGGGTGATAATCAGAACTAATGTTTGGCTTCGCTGGCTATGTACAATACGGCTGAGTCGTCTCGCAACACGCTCGTTCGAGGCTAATTGTCTTTTGCAATTTGCCTGATCGCTAGTTTATTTTTCCCACCATCCGTGTATTCTTGGTATTCTCTTGACACTGACGACCTTGAAAATCCTAGCCTTATAACGATTTCGGAAATTGAAGAACCCATGCTTCGAGCGTCTACTATCTCTACGCAACCGAAGCTGTCCAAATCAGAAATATTACACATACTGGTAATTGAAACGACTGATTAAGAACAATCATAGTACTAGCTATATATACAGTTTCCACAATGCCCCTCACGTGAGCATAAATGCAGCGCAGCGCTACAAAATTCGCATAGCCATGTCTATCTAATGCAGTGGCACTTCAGTGTATGTCATTTAACAATAAAAAGAAGGATTTTAGTTTTGTCCTGCTTCTAACCATTCGGTGAGTGGTTAAGATCACTGCATACCGGTAATTCGAACCCAGGTGAATAGGGCCTGGTTCGTTTTCGGGGTTTTCCCCATATGAAACGTGAATAGAGAGAGTTTACCTTAAAATGTGCTCCATGAAGGCAAACCTTCCCTTAGGCATGTAGCCCTTGCATGCTTTGTCATATTCGGATAAGTTAACTATTTACATTTTTGTCTAAAAAATTAAAATTATAAACTGTTTTTAATTACTGTTTCAAAAATAATCTTAAACGAAAATTTCTTTTTTATTTTTCTATAAATGTATCTAAAATTTTAGATATTATTAAAAAGGTAACTTATTTATATAAATGAGCAGAATTTGAACTTTTTACCTTGAATAAATTTTAAGCAAAATGAACCGAAATATGGGAAACAATTATTCCTTATAAAATGATAAAAATCTGTACAGATTCAGCTAATACTGATAACATATGAAATTATAACTTCCCAGAACTAGAGTCATCTTTATTAAATATCTCTTTCTCATGCCTGGTTTCGACGGAGATCAAGAAAATTCCTTGCAAACTGACGATTATGTTGAGGAGAAATCCAAATGGTAACAGTGGAGAAGGGCCTTTACAATATATTCATGTAATCAATTTTTCTCCTTTCAGTAACTATTATCTACAAATATATGAAACATTGAGGCAGACGAAAATAGCGTTTCACGTATGGCAACATGTTCTGATTTAAATCTATACTTCATTTATTAAATAAAATACAAAATGTAATGAAGTTGATTTTATTTGAGTGTTGTAATTACTAATGGCTCAAAATTCTTTTTAAATTCAGCTCTACTTGAAGAAAGCCTGGAGATATAAAAAGCACCAAAAGATGTAATTTCTTAAGAAAGCAATCCAATACCACCAGCCAGTAGATATGAGAACGTTTATGTGCTAGAAGAATTCCATCAGTTTTCTGCCGCGAATTTCTGAAACGCTTTGTAGGGGGAGTGGCGAATTCCAAAAGTATAGCGCGGCGTAGATGGCTTGTGAAATTTCACCTATGAAAAGAAATGCTAATAATAATAATATATATTAGAGAATTTTAAGATACTGTTCTGTTATCGGGACCGGATCCCCCCCCCCGGAGGTCGACATAGAGAACTCTGAGAAGCTATTGGCTAGGATCTGTACCTAGGACAAAGAATATGTATTGTTCTCCACGGGGTAAAAATTATGAACTTGGTGGTTTTAAAGGCCTGGAAAGCACTTTGCCGCCTCGGGTCTGGATGTCTGAGCGATGGATCCTAGCCGGAAGGGTTTCCCCCCGTTGCTGGGTAACGGTTTTCTGCGACGGGCTCGTCCGTCACCATAGCCGATGATACGGCCTGCGTCTGAAACGAAACGGCTGTGACGTCCGGTTAAGCGACCCACAAACTTTGTTGGCTTTAGTTAAGTTGTATTTTATTCATTAGTTAAGAGGATTATTTTACTTTGACACTAAGGACCCCTTGTAATACTTACAACACTGTAATAAAAAATTGTCATCAAAATTATGGTTATTATTTCAATGGAACAATTTAATAATAACTGCTAGGGGTAAACAACACTTATTCATTACATAATAAATAATTGCCGACGATATCATAACAATAATATCAAATGCAATAACTTGATTCAAGAGTACTGTGTTCTTAATTTAAAGAGCTGTTTTGTGCAAATCAGGAATATTTAGCATTATGAAACGAAGGCATATGTTTGCTAATAGCTTCGTTCCTTTACTATATGATTATCATGCATCAGTTTTTTAAAGGGTAGCATCTAAATCTTTGAATGAGAGAAAAATCTAAGTAACATAGAAGATTCATAGGAAGGTAATTAAATGCGAAAAGCAAATAAATTAAAATGTCCGTTTGAAAGAAGCGTATAATGAACTCATATGTAACTACTGTTTCATGTATGGCACGGCAGCATTTGAAAAAACTATTGTTAATATTTTAAATTAAATCTAATTTGAGTACGTGGCACACCAACTGTGTAATTTAAGTTAAAAAATGCTTACATTACAGAGAAACACCTTACATAAAAATGCTACATACAGAAAGGGTGAACGTGATGTTAGGATAGATGGCTTTCAGTGGATATTAATAGAAAAAAATATTTCAGAAGAGGTAACGCTTATAGTTAACTAGGTATGTGTAAATATTGCAAGAAATGAGGCTAAAAGTTTTGAAGTATTAGTAATTTTTAAAAGGGTCAAAATGTGGAAACTTTTAAAAAACTTTTTCCTTGCTTATTTGGAACATATTGAGAGTTTCAAGCTATGAAAACATATCGCAATTGAACTACGATTCTGTCGAAATTAGGCTGAGAGGAAACAGGAACGTATACAGATAACATACAATATGTAAGTAAGAAATTAAGAAAGATAGGCTATTAGTAATTTAGGACATTCAGAAAAAGGGCTGAGGATATAAGGCATTAAATGTAGTCTAAATATTAAGAGCTCTTGCATTAGGGGATGTTGGGATAATCCTGCACTTAATAGCAGATATAGGGCAATAATTATAGACTGAGGACATGTGTCCCACTGGCAAAATGTGTAAAGAGTGGGTTGAAACAAAAAAAATGATGCGTGAGAGAGCAACGAGAGAACAAAAGCAAGTTTGCAGGAAAAGCAAAGTAAAAGGGGAGCTCTTGATTGTTAAAACAAGTTTTTCGGAAGAAGGATTTGACGGGAAAGCACCACACTCTTCTCAAATAATTTTTTTTAAAATAAGTACCCAAAGAAAATGAAAATTTCATATTCGTATACGTTTGTAAAACATACGGGCGCTTGAATGGTGAGACGAGGAAGTATGAGATACATTTCATAGAAATTAGAAAACGGGTGTTGGGAGGAAAGTAACGCGCGAAGACCTGTCCCCTAGCAGTGACGTAGTAACTTAACGCGCAGGCCTTATCTATCTCGATGGTGACGGCTCGTCCATGCGACTGGCAGGTAGCAATTGACGACCAGTGCTGCCTGGAAATCATAGAATATTTCCAGGTGGTGCGCCGCTTCTCTGGAGGGGTAATAGTGTAGGTTGAACCTCCCCGATGTGCCCAAAGGGGGAGTGGACATGTAATGAGATTTAGTTCACGAGGCAGGGCAGCCGAGATGTATCTTATCGGAACCGGATTCAGAAATGTATGAATGTATGCGCATGTGTATGTATGTGCATACATGTGTATGTATATAAACACTCATACATTCGTGCTTACACATATACATGCATACATGAACACATGCGACCATAGATACATGCATACATTTCTAGATCCGGTCCTGATAACAGAACAGAATCCATTTTAACATATTTTTAAAAAATTCGTTCCTTTAATTAATGATACGACCCAAAAATATAATTTACAGCTACCAGAAATTAAATATAACGATAACGCATATGAGATAATGCAATCAAGATTTGTGCGTGTCCACGGCATTTGTTAGCTGAGTTCCCTATTGATAGTATTTGCCATTAATACCAACAAATAAATAACAAAGTCACTGATTAAATCCATCTTCTCTCACGCGAGCAACTTAAATTAGCATTTCGGGCTTTATTATACTTATCTATGTCAAGAGAGTCTCCGATGGAAAGAGAAACTACACAGCTTACCGTTGAGCCAATAAAGATATTCACTTTTTAAACTGCCGTCATAATAACATTAATTTCAGTTAAATGTTAGAACCGTTTTTAAGATCGCATTTCATTAACGAAGTGGTTAAGAACAAAATAGTAACTTTTTTGGATTATGATGCGAAAAGAAGAATATTTGTTGTGTTTAAATACTGCCAAATGGTCTAATATCAAAAGTAACAATTTAGTAAATTTTAAAACAAAGTATAAAAAATATAAACAGGCAAAACGTTTGGAAAAGGAGTCCAAGAAAGAAAAAATAGTTGCGAAAATTGTTCATCTGAACCTAGTCGGCAAATTAAAATTTTCAATCCGTCAAGTTGCTCCAAGAACTGAATATATCAAAATCAACAGTTCAAAGAGAACATCAACAGTCGAACTAATTTAAAATTTGTGTTGAAAGACTTATAGCAAAACCTCCAGCTCGGTATACAAAAAACATCAAAACATTCGAGCAAAAATATTGCTTTCAAATTAATAAGCAGCTGACTTTCATCTAGAAGTACTGAAAAATCGATGTAGATAATAGATCCTATTTTTACATTAGATCATATTCTCAGTGATGACTCAAAGTAATATGATTCTAAACTTCCTAAATCTCTCATTATGTTGGGTTGTCTGAAAAGTCATGATTCATGACGCATTTTTTCTATGTTCTTCAAAGGTTCATTATTTATATAAAGAACAATGATCAGTCAATAATTTGATAACTTTCTTTTAATGAGCTTCGTAATTCTCCTTTCAAAAATGAACCTAGCTTTATCGTTGAAAGACTGAACAAGTTGCTAATTTACAGCCTCATCTGAGAGAGAGAAACAAGTGAAAGTCTGAGGGCAACAATATAAGTAGGATACGCATGGCAACACCTTTTATCCAAACTCCAATAGTTTTTGTCATGTGATCAAACCTGTGAGTGGTCACGCGTGATCGGGATAGAATGCAGTTCCTATACGATTAATGAGCTGTGGAAGCGTCTGGAAGATGCATTCATTGAAACTGTCCAGTTGGCGACAGAAGAGGTTCGAACTAATTTGTTGGCTAGTTGGTAGGAGATTAAATATTTACAGTGAAACAGACAATGATTATGATGTATTTTATATAAATTTCAGCTCGTTATTATTACTTCAAAAATTTCAGATTGGTATAAAGTATTGAATGATAAATCATTACAGTTGGTTAAAACTAATAACCTCTTCTAGCAAATCAATTTAAAATTTTATATATGTCTTTGTGAAATTTAATACTATAAAAATAAAAGAGGTAAATAAAGCCTTCAATGAATTTTTTTTAAAAATATAAAAATTGCTAGCTTAACAGAGGAACGGAATCTAGGCGAAATTACGCCAATAATACTTTCAACGTTGCAAGTCACTAATCTTAGGATGAAAAAAGCTTAAAAATACTTAAAATAAAAAAATTAAAAAATTAGCGAAATCTTCTCTTAGCCTAAAACATTTGATACATCACTTTACAGAACATAAATTAAACAATCAAGCAGAATTTGAAAAACGTATTGCCTATTTTATTTCATTAAAAGCAAGGAAAATTAAATTACAAAAAAAAACTTGAATTTAATTAAAAAAAAAAAATATGAAAGCTTCAGATTTTATATTACGTCCAAAGAGGCGTTTCTTACGTTTTGTGTGTTACATTATTTACTAAATACGTGTCTTCGATTAAACCATAAAATCAGCAACAGCAGTCTCACAAAAAAAAAAAAAAAAAAAAAAATCTGAAATGTTTAGATTTAAATACGTCCAATTAAATTACGTTTTTAACGTTGTGAGTTATCTTTATTGTTCCCTCAGTTTTCGTACTAACCATAAATTCATTCAACAGGGAATATCGCAAAAAAGTTTTTAAAATGAGCATATCTTTAGAATTTCCGATACAAAACTACGCGCCGGAGATAAAATGTTTTTCTGCATACGTTGCCATGCTCGCTTGAAACCTTGAGTTTGTTAATCAAAATTTGTCAAAGTTTAAAATAGGAAAGATCATAAAACAAAGTCAAATTTCAAATTGGTCTCACATGATAACATTCGTTGAGATTACGTTATTCATTCGAGACTCTATGTACCATTTTATACAATACGAAAATATACATACATTTGCAGATTTTGCATTATTAATTCCTCAAATTATGCAGGACTCTAACCTTTTGTGGCACAGTTTGAAGGAACCGACGTTTCCGTCCGAAGCAATGCCAAACGAACACTAATCTTCGGGATTCAAATCCCTTTGGACTAATAACAGTTTTTTATATCAATTGTACCATATTATTCATACTTACTTGATTATTTTTACCATCTATCGAAAAGGTACAGTTTAACGCTTTGTTTGAAATTTATAAATTGTTACATGTATTAATTTTCTGAATGCGTAGAGTTATTACATCAAAATATTCTATGAGTCATAGTATTATTTTGAATAATTACCTTTGTTGAACATAGATGTTTAAAAATACAATTAATTTATGTGCATGTAGGGGCGCACAAAGCTTTGTAAGCTTTGTTTCAGGTGAAACGAGACATTGGTACGGCTCTGATAATTATGATAAAAGTGCCCCATAAAATTTAAGGAACATCAAAGCTGCTCACTTTTAGCTTGTTGTTATTTTTAGTCCAAAGGGATTTGAATCCGGAAGGACTATTAGTTTCGTTTTGGCATTTTGCGTCGGACGGATAAATGTCGATTCATTTTTCAAACTGTGCATAAAGTTAGAGTCCTGCATTATATTGAAAATTAAATAATGAAATCGGCATAAAGTATGTATTTCTCGTTTGTGATAAAAAACGGTACATAAGTAATCGAATTTTGAATAACGATCCTCCAACGAATATGAGCATGTGGAAGACCAAATTTGAAATTTGAAATTTGTTTCAGATCATTTCCTATTTTTTAAAACTTTACGACTTTTGATTAACACTCAAGGATTTCAAAGCGAGCAATGGCACGTGTGCAGAAAAACCTTTTATCTCCAGCGCGTGAGTCTCTGTATACGAATTCTAAAGATATGTCGTTTTAACTATTTTGCGATTAGTGCTGTGCACTGGATCTTATGGTTTAAGTGCAGGAAAGATATTAATAAGAAGGTAACACACAAAATTTAAAAAACGCCCCTTTGGACGTAATTTAAAATCTGAAACATTTCAGAATTTTTTTTTTAATTATTTTAATCATTTTAAAAACACTCGTCCTACAAGGGAGAATCAAAAAGTGAACTCAGTATATTTTTAGCAAGATAGTAATACAAAAGGAGATTGAAAATACTTTCTCATTTTCATACAGAATACTCAATACGTGTATCAAAGTTTGAATAATACCTGAATCTGGCAAGAAAAACTGCTTTAGTTATGGTTAATACTGGAAATCATCTTTTCTTTTCAACCAACATTTCATTTAGTTTTTTCTGTAATCATGACAAAATTACGGCAAAAGGCAAATTAAATTGGTATGTTTAAGAAACATCGAAGGTTCTCATTCTCATCTCTGGAAGTGTTACGTGAAAAGGATTTCTCTCGCTAAAAGAACCTTCTTCTGCGAGAGAGACTCAAAAGCAAACTCGTATTGCTGTAATTACTCGTATAATATTACTACCAATAGCATTAAATTTCTATCTCATTTTTTACATAGTAGTTAACATGTTCAATACACATAGAACAAATTCGATAACTCTTAGGTTTTTTTTTTTTCCTTTGAGAACATACAAACTCCCCGTGCACCACATATGTTTTTTTTTCTTTTAGAAACATAACAAACTCCCCGTGCACCACATATGTACAAACACGGGGGCTTACAGAAGTAAGTTAACTAGAAACATTAAAAGGTTCTGTATAATAAACATTTAAAAATATATGCATAAAATAAAGCGAACAAAAGCAGAGGCCAGCAGTCTGGAGAGAAAACAGATAAGTTCACGGCCAAAGTTATCTTCATTTTCAAACGTTTGTAAGCATAATCTAGGGAATCTTTGTAGGGCACGAGAAAATCTTGGTTCAACATCATCAGAACTTTTTAACATTCACACACTTTTATCGTAGCTTTAAAACGAAACAGATAATTGAAAATTTTTGGAGACCAGCTAAAAACGAGACACTTTTTTTCGAGAGGAAGACTCGGTTTCGTCTATGTAAAAGAAGGAAGGTTCTTGCGTCAGCATTACACATGAAATGATTTTATTCCACATGAAAAGCTTTTTTAATGAAAGTTGCCCTCTTTGGAAATGCTAATGTTGAATCAATGGGTAAATTTAAGGCTCTTTAGCTAAGAAATCAGTTTAAAGTTCCGTAGAAACCATGATGAGCGCGCACATAGCAAAGCAAATCAAAACCCTTAATTCTAGTGAACTACAGTTATAGGGTTTCGATAACAATTTCGCAGCTGGTAATACTGTTCAAAAGTGAAGGAAGAAAGAGATAGACAAATAAGGTTCTTTGAGGATGTTGTCCCATGATCCTGGATCCATTTGACGGCAAGATAAATGCACAGAAGTTCTGCTAACTCTTAGGTTTAAAAAGAAAATTCTCCTTTGATTGATTGTAAATGTCGCTGAAGCACAACATGTTTATCTCATAGGTTATTTGCTGAAGTTCTACAGATGTGGCATTCAAGTTTACTTATTTTCAAAGTAGGATAGCACACTTATTATACGGAACAGTAAATAAAAGGAAGCACTGTTAGGTAAGTTCTTGGATTTGCAAAACAGGCGTCGTGCGTCTTGTAAGTGTCCTCCACAACACCGAAGCACTGCTGCCACCTCCTGGGTACATTTTTCATGCTGTGACCTAAAGTATCTTGAGAAAAATTTGAAAACTCTCGAACTGCATATTTATTAAGGCTTTCAATGTCTGATACGTTGTGTGTAACTTTAGCTTTCAAATACCACCACTAAAAAAGTATATTGCATTCCATACGACCTCTCTCAGTTTTCTGACATTAAATAGATGTCATTCAGTTTCTGTCATTCAGTTTTCTTCTGAGTTTATTGAAGCGACCTTTTCTACGGGAATATTTGGAACATTAAATATTCTTTCTTTCACCATTTGACGTCAAATGCCATATAAAATATAATTCGGGAGAAGACTGAGAAAATCACTCATTGCATTTCACATCGTGTCATGGTAAGTATACTTGGTACATCGCTACAATAACTTGATTATCATGAATGACATCTCCAAGACAGTGTATTCAAAAGAGCAAGGCCTGTTTTTAAATCCAAGGAATTAATTTACTTGAATGTTTTCTGTTGCATTTATTTTTATATAAGAAAAATCTGATGTGTACACCACATGACTTCCTTGTACGGAATATTAAATTATACGCATTTTTCTTGCATTTCATTTAAACTTATTGGATTGAATTAAATCTACTTCGCCGACAGCCATAAAACCACAATAGAATAAATGCATTCTTAAAATTCACTCTATTTTTGTTTACCATAGCGACACTCTGGCGCTAGATTCACTTACAGTATTAATAATTTATACAGTTAATTATAAATAATTATATAACGGGAACTAAGTTACTGTTATAATCCAATAATTATATAAGTTAACTTATATATCGTTATATTATAACTCATAATGCAACAAATTTTATCATTTAAGAATAGAATTATCTAATCTTGACTCACATGTTCTATTCAAATAGTATAATAAAGCTAGAATGAGTATAAAAGAAATAAGCAACCAAACAAAAAAGAAACAGTTTTTTCAGACGTGAGTTTTCATTTAATTAATTAGTCTCACGCGAGAAGGCAAATTGCATAAAACTCAAATATCTATATTAAATTAAGAAGTAAATCTCAAACAACTTATTCCTCGAAAAAATTCCAGAAGATTAAGCATGATTTAATTGCAATAATAAATGAATGCGTTATCTTTTTGTTGGAAGCTAAGTTTCTCTAGATTCAACAAATCACTAGTCTCGTTTCAAATGTAAACATGATGGCCGCCATATAAAAAAGGCTTAGCGGCACTTAGACAAATTTAAAATTGTTGATAATTCTAAAATATTGCAGACATTTACTAAAGCATAAAACTTACCGGAAGATAAAAAACATATTCAATCATATTTAAACAAAAAATGTACATTTACAACATATAAGTAAAAGAAACTGAGATCCTGCCGGTAAGAGTGGATTATATATAAATATATTTATTACGTTTGTGCGGCCCATTGCACCAAAATATGAGGTGCCATCTACATGTTATAAGCAGTCCTATACAAAATTTCACAACGTTCTGAGGCTACTCGTTTGAGTTATGCGAGATACGTAGTACGTACATACGTTCGTACAACGCCACGAAAAATTCTCTTCATGATTAATTTTAAAGCAGTTTAATAATTTTTTTGAAGAAAAGGGCTTTTTATGTCCTCAAGACCACGCAAAAATCGTTTTTTCAGGCGATGCGGCAAAATGGATATTTTCTTGAAATGCTGCCTGAACTTTCGCGATTACAATACTTCCTTTTTACTTCGTACAAAGAAGTAAAAAAGAAATGAGTAACGTTAAATATCCCATAAGCCATATGCCCCGTAATTTTTCTCACAAGCCAACGGGCCTTGGGATACTACTTTAAGTTGAGAAAGCGTCACACATTTTGTTCAAGATTTTTTTTTTATTCTTTAACGCATTAGTAAAGCTCTGAACATATCATACGTAAGAAACTGCATGAATATTTTTGATATATCCAAAATTTTGCTTACTGTATGTGTGGTTATTTAAATCTAACGAATGTAATTGTTATTAGCGGTCATAATGAACTTACCACGTGATATTCGTTAGATGCTGGCCCGGGACTAGTAATTCCTATGCGATCTGTCTCTTTCTTAATCCCCATAGAATAAGCTGGCGAGCGACATTTATTAACATTCGTCGGTGGCAGCTGATAGGCTGCAGGGCCTGGATTCTGAAAAAACAGAAATATGGAAATGCAATGAGGCATTTTTGAACTGCCTGTTATTTAGATGGATCATTTGTGGATATTTTTATGGATGTATGTATAAAGTTTGTTAACAAAATGGATTTTGAAACATACGTACGCTTAACATGGCATTAAGTTATAGTAAATTAAATTAAATGCCATACTACATGACCTTAAATTTTGAGGACCCCCTACTTACAGAGTTTCTGATAAAGTAGATAATTTTATATGAGAACAATTTTAATTAGTATTGGAGGTTTCTGTAAACTTTGATTAAGCATTCATGCCGTCTCTAAATTGATTCATTCCTTATCAAACAACAGCTATATTGATAAATTTATCTTTTGAACTTCCTTCATTGAAAATAATATGAACTAAAATTTGGGTGCCACAGTTTAAATAAATTAATCCAAATTTCATTATTTCATGCAGCACTTTTTTCTGAAAAATAAATATTATATTAAGTGAAACAATGAAAATGGTCATTTTTTTAGGGAGATCAGCTATTTGTCTTAACAGATAACATGAAACATGCGTAATATCCTTGCAGAAATTAGAACTCCGCCCCTTCCAATTATTAGCCAGAAGTGCTTCCAATTACAACCCGAAGACCAGCAATAAGGAGGGGAAAAGTACCTTACAACCATAGGGATTGTTTATTCACTGCACTTCTTCTATCTTTTTGTAAGGAACAAGATGAAAATAGAAGTTTTGTAAAAAAGTAAACAGTGCCTTTTTCGAACTGTGGTCTTTCGCACTGTTGGTCTGTTAAGCTGCGTTCAGACGAGGGCGTGAAGGGCATATGTGGTTAAAGCCGAGCTCCGTTGCCAAGGCAATCAGTCTGTGCTACGTCACAAAATCTGGTTTAGGGCTCGTGGCATAGAGTTCAAAGTTTTCAACTTTACGCCGAGTTTGGGATAAGCGTCGACCAATCAGCGAGGCTAAAACGACGGGTTCTACAGAAATTTAGCTGTACAAAACAAGCAAGCGAACGCGAGAAATCAGTCGAGCAGGAGAACAGCGCGTAAAAGTTGTAGACACATCCACGCAAATTTAGCTTCTCTCATTGGCCACGGCTTACACACCGTTCTCGCAGGTGTGAACAGAACTCTTGTATTTTATGCCCTTATGACTATGCCCTTTATGCCACCGTCTGAACGCAGCCTTATGCTCCTTAAAATACGATAAAAGCACATAAAAGGAATAATTAATTGCTTTTTATGTGTAATTATTATTACCTGTGGTATTACCTATTACCAAATAGACAAGTGAGTACGACTGTTGAATACTTGTAGCTCCACCGGATTCAAATTCTGGTGAACGGGCTGCTGCTTAGGTTTCTCGTGGTCCCGATGCTTAACATAAATGTGAACTAATCTTCCTTCGAAAGACTTCCGTTAAAACAAGCATCTCTGATAACACTCGAGTTAGTTTTGCCTTAATCAATTAACCAATCTCTTTGTGGGATCTAGTCTTCTTCGCTATCACGCAATGTAACTACATCTACTTAAGTGTTAATCCTTGCGACTCCTTGCAAAGACATTGTCCCACCGAGCGGTTGTCAGTTCGCTGAACACTGGTAGTTCGGTCCAAGGTTCGAATCCCGCGAACGGGCTGGCTGCATGGGCGTTTTCGTGGTTTTCCCCGTGTGTAACGTGTATACGAGCCAGTTTCCCTTAGAAAGTCCTCCACGAAGGCATCCCCTCCCTTTAGGCAGATAGCCCTCGAGGCTTTGCCATAATCACCCACACACACCTTGCAAAGACATGAAGGTGAACACAACAGGCAAAGAGTATAAAAGACCCTTTTACTGAACACAATATTTTACAGACGGCACGGATTTACAGTCACCGACACTTAGAGAAACTTAAAAGATAAAGTAACGCTAAATTGAAAGGTAAAGAAGTGCAAGACTAATCAATTCAGACTGACTCAGAACCTACATCGGAGGATAATAATTGGACTGCAAGAATGCCAATCCAATATCCAAGGTTAACAGGTGGTAGAAATAACAGCATGCATTCACAGTAGTGAAATCACGCTCTGACTAAAACTTTCACTACACCAGTTTAAATACACTGGTTCACCCAAAATTAATTTACATATTGGCGAGGAGAGGACTAAGAGAAGTGAAAAAAGGCTGACAAATTAAAATAACTCTTAGTAAAAATAAATGAAACCCTCTGAAATGATAACAGAAAGTTTGGATGGATCTCAATCCATAAATTTTAGTTTGCTTATGAATGATCATACACAGATAATTAACTAACTTGAATTTCTTTGATGCATTGCCATACCTAAGGACGGCTACAAAGAGACTAAATGAAGCTTAATCCGTGAATCTTGGTTTGGTGATGAATGCGCATCTGCAATTTTTTGTTCGATATTCATTTCAGGAGAAGATGATACGGTCGCAGAGAATTAAAAAATAAATAAATAAACCGTGTGGTTACTAAAACTCGGCTTCAACACATTCAGACTTCCAGAACTATGTTCAGTCCACGATACCATAGGCAGAGTACCTGAATTTCTTACCAGTTTATTGCAACGGAAAATTTTATTCCTAGTATGACAAAATGAGGTTTTTAACAAAAATCATGTCCAGGAATTTACGAAACTTAAAAGAAGTTTTGATTTAACTTCAGATAACAAATTTAAAATTTATTATTTTACAAGCATAATTTACCTTTAAACGTCCGAGATAAATTTTATTCACATTACAAGGAAAATAAACATTTTTTAATTATCCAAAGGATGTAAAAGGGAAAGTTTCAAGTACGTAGAAGAACTAAAAGATAAACACAGGGAAAGAGGTACTTTTGTCGGAAATTCTATTGATCCTTCAAATGCTGACAAGGCATCTTATACTTTATTTACTAATCAGCCTTAGGCAACGATCCTTTTGACAATTAAGTGGTAAATATTTATTTAGGAGCTCTTCATATACTGCCCTTTCCTGGAAGGCTTTTGTAAGAGGCTGATGTGCTTTCCATAAGAAAGTGGACACTTGAATCTCTAACGGACAACTTTATGTACACCTTTTTAGGTTAGATAAGGTTCTGATTACTTTTATATTAATGGTGCACTGCGTGATATTGTAATGATTACCGATGTTAAATGTTGTAGCTCTGAGCGCAGGTTCGAATCACGGAGAAGGCTTGATATTTAACTGTCTGTGCTGCCAGAGGTTACTTAAAATATTAGCTAGCCAAATATTTGCTTTAGTACAAAGGCTATTTATTTAGAAGTAGTATCGGATTTGCCTACTGAAGGATTTCTAGCATGTCTTAGAAGGTTTATTGCCAGACGATCCAAACCATCCATTGTTTGGAGTGATAACGCTACTAACTTCAAGGAAACGAAGAATGTTCTTGATAAACTCCTTAGAATCTGTAGATCGGATCCTATTCAACGCTTTAATTCCGAAGAAGGTATAACATGGAGATTTATTCCTCCTTCTTTCCCCGCATTTTTGTGAATTATGGGAGGCTCATGTAAAATCACTGAAGAGAATTTTGACAAAGGTCGCGAAAACGACAATTTTAAACTTTGAAGAGCTATATACAGGGGTTGGACAAAAATATGGAAACACCTTTAAAAAAACATGTTTCTTTGCTTAATATGGTGTAGAAAACCCGTTGGCATCCAAAACAGCTTGCAGTCTTCTCGGAATGGATAAATACAGTTCCTATATGTATGCCAAGGGAATTGATCGGCCAAAATGTTTACATAAGTCTTGGTAGTCATGTGCCCTGACACTTATCATGGGGCTAGCAGAGAACCACGATATGGCTGCCCAAACCATAACAGAACCCCCGTCATGTTTCACTCTTGGCAACAAGCAGTCTGTATTATAGGCTTGAGATGGCGTTCTCCAGACGTAAACTCGGCCAGAAGTCGGAAACAATGTGAAAGAAGACTCGTCAGACCATATTACTCGCTTCCACTGCTCTATAGTCCAGGCTTAAGACTTAAACAATATTTTTTCCTGTTACGGGCATTAGCATCACTGGTGAGTGGCTTCTCAATTGCAGCACGGCCAGCAATTCCCTGTTTATGAAGCTCCCTTCTAATTGTTTTGATACTCACAGAGTTCGGTAACACAACATTCATTTCAGCAGTAACTTTTGCTGCTGTGGTCTTCTTATTTTTCGTCACAATTGCCCTTAATGATCGTCTGTCACGATCACTCAGGACACACTTTCGTCCGCGCTGTGAATTAGCAGATGATGTTTTTCCGCTTTTCAAATATGCGGAATAAATCTTCGATACAGTACCTCTTGAAACACTAAACACCTCGGCTACCTTGCTTACGGAAGCACCTACCATACGTGCTCCAACAATTTGCCCCCGTTCGAAGTTTGTTAACTCTGACATAATGCAATGACAACCTCACATAACAGTACTCCGACAACAACTGAACTGTTTAGCATATTTACGAAGTTGTATAGGTGGCGTCAGTAGTCAAAAACGCCAGCGCCACATACATATTTCATTAAAATCAATCTTTCTTTTCAAACATGCATTTCACAAGGTGTTTTCATATTTTTGTCCATCCACTAAGACACCCAAGAGGTGGACACTAGCTCGCATCGAGGAGACCGTTCCTGGTCCAGATGGACTAGTACGAGTAGTAGACGTCAGAACTTCAGACGGAATCTTTCGTCGAACCGTCTCCAATATCAGTCCATTCCCATTTCCAAATAATGTTGGACAATCGTCCAACGAGGCCGGGATGTTCCGGCTTGACTAGAAACTTTCCTCTGCCGATACTCCGGTTTGACTTGCAACTTTTCTCTGCCTCGGAATGGCAATAGTCAGAACTTGATTTTCGATTCGTCTTAACGCAGCTCGAACGCTGCTCATGACATGTAACAGTAGAATTGATTCTAGATTCTATATTAGATTAATTTGTTTAGTATTTAGACCTTCTGAGAAATTTGAAGATAAGGATAAAGAAAGAGGGGAAAAATCAAAACCAACTG